TCACGATCTTATGCTAATGCATAAGATAGGTTTTTTTTTTTTTTTTCACAAAATGAATTGAAGTCACATGACACTTCTGCCCAGAGGCAGCTGAGGGGTATTGGTGGGCCAAGTGAGCTGTAGATGAGGCAAAAGCTGGGATGTGGGAGGAGTTCGGTGAGGCTATAGACAAGACTCTTGATCAGCTCAGAGAAAATTCTGGCAAACCATCAGGCAGTTGAAGTGGGGAAAGCAGCACTATAACCGTCATCTTAGGAGATGGCTGTACTTCAAGATGAGATCAGACAGCAGTTTTATGTAAGTGCAGAAAATATGAGGCAATATTTAGAAAATTTTAAAGCTTAGGGTAACAAAAACTTGCATTTTGTTTTTGTAAATTTTTAAGGACAAAAAGGAATAAACGTCATATTTTTTAAACAAGCAGGCTGCAAAGAGCTTTTAGTGACAGCTATTTAATAACTGCACAGGAATGAAAGGATGTGTCAACAATTTCTCGCACAGAAGTTGAAAACTAACTAGCTTTAAAAGCCTCATGGGATAAATCCAGTCAGAAAAGTACTTTTTCCAACTATGGATCCACCTCAAATATAAACAGGCTACTTTTCAGTAAAAAAAATCTGTACTTCTTCCATGAAGTACAAACAATATGAATGTATATTACAGTATTTGAGATACACTGAGAATAATCAAAAACAAATAGACATCTTGCAGCCATAAGCTTAAAAAATGTTACAAGTTTCTGATTATAATAACACATTTACCAAATAGCCGCCCTGATTTTCTGATTATAATGACAAATCACAACACTAAAAGCCTTAATCTTTAACAATAGGAAATTCTTAGTATATTACATGTGTTTCTCACCAGTTGGTTGTGCATTGCACAGCAACAGGTTTACATAGGGACACAGCAGGGTGTTAGCAGTGCTGATGGGGTCCTGAAAGGAGGGGTCTGAAGTCACAGCCAAAGTTTTACCACTCTGAGCTTGAAGATCCATTTTGTTGGTCAATTCTGTAATAAACATAAAATAATGCATAAGTAAAAAGCATAAAGAAAAAAGGGAAACAAAATTTTAAAAACAGTTGTTTAAACATTAAAAAATCTGCGTATTGTTTATGTTCAGTAAAAAAAAAAAACACAGGTCAAGCTTAACAAGACACTGCAGCAAGAAAGTGACAATAAGTAAGTCACTCACTTTAAGAGATGATGGATTTGTCTGCTGTGACATTTACTTATTGGTCTCACTGAATCAAGCAGAAAGAGCAGGATTTATGTTTGTCTGAGCAGCCAAAACACCTCTTACCAGCTCCATTACTGAAGAACTTGAGCAGCGTGTTATTGGTTCCAAAGATGCTGCTGCAAACTTTCCTCAGTTTGTCCAAGTCTAGTCTGTTATCCCCTCTGGGGTTCTCCAACAGAACTACACCCTCTGAAAACAAATGTACACACAAACGAGATTACTAAAAACAAGCTGTTTTCGCTTGTGGAACACTGAATTTATGCTGTACCAGCAAGTTGACAAAAAAATTAAAATATAGCGACAGGAAAACGTGTTGTGTACAGTCTATTTATGCTACCTTGTTCTTTGTTGTTGACTTTCACCCTGAGGTTCACATATGTGCACGCTGGTCCATTTAGAAGAGCTCGAGGGAGTGTAGATCCCTTCACTATAGTTAACTCTAAGTCTGAGCCCTTCAGCTGAAAACAAAACAAAACGAGCTTTTAAAGAGAGAAAGACCAACTTGTGCATCTGTTATAAAGTAATCAAATCTAAAACTCAAATCCACAATCAACCTGTGACATGACAATTGTGAGACATATACTGAGATGTGTAATCCAATATTTTAATTTATGTAGGATCCTAAAAGCAGTTTGAGTGGCAATCATAACCCACATGCTCAAAGCATTACTCATACTTGTGATTTCATACGCCGACTGGCATCAGCAGGTTTTGTGAGAAATGTTCAACCTGCTGGTTAGGGCGAGTCTGAATTACACAGACAACAGAGATTCTGCGCTCCCTGAAGGGATCATTTCATACCTGAGTCTTTTCCACTATGATGACGCTGGCAGTATCTGGGACAGGGTAGGAAAGAAGAGGAGCCTTGATGGTAGCCAGAATAAAGTCAGTGTGAGCCTGGACCACAGATGCCAAGTACTCCCCTTCTGGCTGACAGCGGTAATACACTGTTATTTCATCTGATGGCACCAAATGTCCCTAATATCATAAGATGACAGATAGGACACAGTGTTTTATAAAGGCAAATACCAAGGGCAGCATTTTAAAACCTACAGGAGGCTGTTGAGAAAATGAAGGAGTCACAATAAGCTTGTAATACGCTGAAAGTAAAACATTTGATAACAAAAAGCAGAAAACTGCACAGAAAAAATAGACAGAAGAGAACAAGAGGATGTTTTTGCTGGATGAAAGCCCATCTATTTTGGCATTGTTCGCTGTTAGCTTCCACTAACCTTGCTGCATTCAAACACATTGATCTCACTCTAATCTGCAGTGTGCAGCAGCGCACAGCTGTACATCACCGTACACACACATTGTCTGGAATGGACACACACACGGCTGCCAGCACATCTCAAGGGCAGAAGAATAATTTAACCAGATACCAGTCAATCAATAGAGGGGAGTTTTACAAGCTTGCTCGAGTCAAGGCCCTCATTCTGATGATGTCTGTATAGCTCATATGTGTTTGTGTGTCAGATCAAGCTACAAACCGGATTCCAAAAAAGTTGGGACACTAAACAAATTGTGAATAAAAACTGAATGCAATGATGTGGAGGTGCCAACATCTAATATTTTATTCAGAATAGAACACAAATCACAGATCAAAAGTTTAAACTGAGAGAATGTATAATTTTAAGGGAAAAATCTGTTGTTTCCAAATTTCATGGCGTCAACAAATCCCAAAAAAGTTGGGACAAGTCCATTTTTACCACTGTGTGGCATCCCCCCTTCTTCTTACAACACTCACCAGACGTCTGGGGACAGAGGAGACCAGTTTCTCAAGTTTAGAAATAGGAATGCTCTCCCATTCATGTCTAATACAGGCCTCTAACTGTTCAATCGTCTTGGGCCTTCTTTGTCGCACCTTCCTCTTTATGATGCACCAAATGTTCTCTATAGGTGAAAGATCTGGACTGCAGGCTGGCCATTTCTGTACCCGGATCCTTCTCCTACGTAGCCATGATGTTGTGATTGCTGCAGAATGTGGTCTGGCATTATCATGTTGAAAAATGCAGGGTCTTCCCTGAAAGAGATGACGTCTAGATGGGAGCATATGTTGGTCTAGAACCTGAACATAGTTCTCTGCATTAATGGTGCCTTTCCAGACCTGCAAGCTGCCCATGCCACAAGCGCTCATGCAAACCCCATACCATCGGTGATGCAGGCTTCTGAACGGAGCGTTGATAACAACTTGGGCTATCCTTGTCCTCTCTGGTCCGGATGACATGGCGTCCCAGTGTTCCATAAAGAACTTCAAATCGTGACTCATCTGACCACAGAACAGTCTTCCATTTTGCCACACTCCATTTTAAATTACCCTTGGCCCAGTGCAAACTGTGCTTGTGGAGCTTGCTTAGAAATGGCTTCCTCTTTGCACTGTAGAGTTTCAGCTGGCAACGGCGGATGGCACGGTGGATTGTGTTCACTGACAATGCTTTCTGGAAGTATTCCTGAGCCCATTCTGTTATTTCCTTGACAGTGGCATTCCTGTTTGAGGTGCAGTGACGTTTAAGGGCCCGGAGATCACGAGCATCCAGTAGAGTTTTATGGCCTTGACCCTTATGCACAGCGATTGTTCCAGATTCTCTGAATCTTTTGATGATGTTATGCACGGTTGATGATGATAACTTAAAAGTCTTTGCTATTTTACGCTGGGTAACACCATTCTGGTATTGCTGCACTATCTTTCTGCGCAACAATGGTGGAATTGGTGATCCTCTTACCATCTTGGCTTCTGAGAGACACTGACACTCTGAGAAGCTCTTTTTATACCCAATCATGTTGTCAGTTGACCTAATTAGTGTTAATTGGTCTTTCAGCTGTTCGTTTTATGCTCAATTTCCTTTTTCCAGCCACTTATTGCTACTTGTCCCAACTTTTTTGGGATTTGTTAACACTGTGAAATTTGAATCAACATATTTTTCCTTTAAAATGTTACATTTACGCAGATTAAACTTTTGATCCGTCATCTATGTTATATTACAAATAAAATATTGACATTTGCCATCTCCACATCATTGCATTCAGTTTTTATTCACAATTTGTTTAGTGTCCCAACTTTTTTGGAATCCGGTTTGTACAAACACCATCAGCTACAGTATTTAATAAAAAAAGAGAAATGATGACCCCCTGTTTTTCAATTCTACAAACCACACAAACATTCACAACTCGGGTGCAACGACAAACTACTACTCAACATGTACAAGAATCTTTAAAAATTAATTCCCATCCACGGGGTGGAAAATTCCTCATAGATCTCAGTTTGAAATAACCGGAGGAATTTATCCTGGCCGGAAGCCAGTGCACAGCGCTGCTATAGGGAGATGGAAAAACCTGTTTGTTTCTTGTGAAAACAAGAGGTTGTTGGTTAATCCGTCTTTACTTCCCAGTTTACTTCAAAGCTCCAACATCAAATCTGAAAGGGGCCAGACTGTAATTAAGCTTCTATTAAGCCAGCCTTATAATGGAGAAACCTCTAACTGTGTCGCTGTAGTGGAAAGATTTCAACACTGCTCTGACAATCAAATGAGATGAAGAGGCAGGGAGGCCACAGGAGTGATTAAAGACAGGAAACAAGAGTGAAAAGTAGTATATATGTTTCTGTGCTGTATTACTACTGTGTGGATTAGCTAAAAAAAAAACAATTTGTAACCAACTTCAGGTGCAGTTAGTATGAGCAGTAGATGCTCTGGAAATAAATTAAGCTTTTTAAGACTGGGTACATAAAAAAAACAGTTTAAACATATAAAACAAGGAAAAGCTCCTTAAGAAGTTGAAGTCATTAGTCACAGCAGTGCACGTCTTCCTCAGCCTGAAGCAACGCTGATTAAACGCCGACTCTTTCATCGACGCCACATGCTGGACTAGTTATTAAACACTGGACTGTAGAATTCAGTAGTAGTTTGTTATGTGTCACTCCTAGCAGAGCTAGTAGTGCTCATGAAATAAATGCCCCACCTTCTTGCGTAGTTTCTGAATGCGGTTGATGACCTCCCTGGCGACGCCTTCGTCCACCATGGACTGGTCTGGGGTGACATCCAACAGCATGAGGACCTACATGACATCAGACCACAGTGACTGAGGAGTTTGTAACCAATTCAAACCTGCTCTGATTTTCACAGAAAACCTGCTTTATATAAGCAAGTGTTTGGGATTGACTGTAGAGAATCCTTAACCCAGACTAGATGAAAGTTTTATAAAAGAAGTGTTCATTATTGCTAAGTTAGTCAAGTCAAGTCAAGTCATATTTATTTATAGAGCACAATTTAAAACAGATAGACTGTTATCAAAGTGCTTAACACTAAGGGTAACACTAAGAAATAAAACCTGCAGAACTTGTAAAAATGCTACTTTTTCAATCCCTTTAAAGCTATATTTTTTTATTTATTAAATGACAGCAAAAAATATACATTTTAACGAAACGTTTCTACAATTTATTTTGTTTCGTTTTTTTTTAACGTCCAGAGGACTTGACTTCACTTTTTTAGATTTTTCTACCTGGATTATTGAGCATGCATCAGGATATCAATTTTAACAGCTGTACTCTGCATAAATTTATTACAATAATCAATTACATCTACATATTTTATGAATAACTAAAAATATTTTAAAAACTACAAGGTAATCAGACTAAAGTTGAACATCGGTTACTTAGTGTTGTATTTTGTATGTACGTGTTCAATATATTGCTTGTGCTAATAAGTTTGCTAATTTGTTACACAAATTAGTTCAACTTTATATTTCTTAATAACAAAAGGTTCCACTTTCATGCCAATAATAATAAAGCAAAGTAACATTGAACTGATGGTAGAGTCCCCTGTGATGGACTTGCGACCCGTCCAGGGTGTACCCCGCCCCTCGCACAGTGATTGCTGGACATGGGCACCAGCGACCCCCGTGACCCAAAATGGAACAAGCGGGTAAAGAAAATGGATGGATGGATGATTGTAGAGTCTTAAAACGGTTTATAAACCTGGCTCTAAACTACGTCTTGTCTTTGTTAGAATGAAGAGTTTGTGTCAGTTGAAAATTGAGTTCTGATTATTCACGAGCTACACGAGCTCGCTTTGCTTCACACAACAAGCAGAACTAAAAACACTTCACCGTTTTCTACGAGTTTATTATAGCAACAAAGCCACCTTTTGTTGGGTGTAGAAAAAACAAACTATTTTCAGGAGGTTAAACTGAAGATAAAATAAGAAACACTTTAAAGCAAAACGTTCTGATGCATGCTCAATAATCCAGGTAGATGAACGGAGTTGAGTCAGGTCCTCTGGACAGAATCTTCTTTGTTGAAATGTTTCATCTTTTAACCTAAAGACTTCTGAAGTGTGTTGGGAAAAAGACGAAACGTATCAACAAAGAAGAATCTGTCCATAGGACTTGACTCAACCTTGTTAGATTTGCAAAACGTTTCTTTTGCGTTGATCACATCACGAAAATCACACCAAGGCAAATATTGCAGTTGTGTTTGTCTTGAACTTTTAACCAAACGAGGATGATAGCATGACAGAAGAACATAAAAACCACAGAGAAAGAGAAAACGAGAGGGAGAAGAGACACTGACAGATGGAGGCTGGAGTCAGTTTGAGTAGGAGACAGAATTAAAAGCCATCTCAGTTTAGTGGTATTAAGGTGCAGCCGTGTGGTGTGTGTACGGTCGGAGGAGCACTGATTAGAAGGAGCCTGAGGGAGAGGCATACATGCTGGAGTCCACTTAACCGTGAAATGATTTCATACATCACACACTTACAGCAAAGACACATAAATGCATTTACAGTATATGGCAGCTCAGAGCATCAGCAGAATTTTTCCTCTTTTTTAGGATCACTTACATTATATACAGTAGTTCAATACATCCAACAAGAGCGGGTAATGTAACAGTCAAGAGGGAGGAGCGCGGGAGCAGCAGGAGGACAAGTATAGCTGTTTCTATTATCATTTCACTGGGCTAACAAAGAGTGGATAGAGTGGAAATCCTACACAAACCTTAATGCAATCTAAAAAAAAAATGCAGTCCTCAATTATAAATGCAGAAACAAAAGAGATAAACGATGTTCCAAAACAAACACGGCTACAGCAGGAAGGAGAATTTTCAAAGAGCTTAAAGTTGCATCATTTTAATAAATATGATGGCAAAATGAAAGAACTGACATGAGCCAGGCTATAAAATAAGAAACCATATTTGTCTAAGAAAACAAATCTTATATTTATGTTTTTCTTTTTTTCTTTATACTGAAGGGCGTTCAATTTTCCAAGCTTGGGTATTAAAACTGTCCTGCCTCTTGCATTTTGACTGCTGGGATGGTCACCATGCCCCCAGCAATCCTGACATAGATAAAGTGGGTAAAGGACATTGATGGATGGATGATATTACAACTACTGGGTTTTTATTGCAAACAAACCTGGGCATCGGAGTGTGCTTCGTACTGCGCAGCAGAGCCAGAACTCTGATCAAAGGTGTGCATCAGCCTCAAGTCCTCCTCGTGGAGCTCATGGCCGTCAACCATGATTGATCCTTAAAATTAACCAGACATCATTACGGACCAGAATCATATTGAAATACACAACAAAATGTCTATGATTTTTAACACAATCCATTTCTATACCATAAGGCTATCAAAAAATATATATTTTTCACCATAGGGATTACAGAAGTCCCTCGCAACTTAACGGTTCATTTTTTGCAGACTCACGCTCTATCGCGGTTTTTCAAAATAAGACTGGACATCATGCACAATTGGCCGATTGATGGATGAGCCGCACGATCGGCATGGAATTTTTTATTTTAAATAAATTATTTTAAATTATTTAGCACCTGTGCGCAGCCCAAGCTGCAGGAGAAGCTTCCTCCTGCAGCCGATCTCTGCTCTGCAGCAGAGAAGTGGGCGTGACCAAGTGGCAGTATGCAGTGCAATAAATAAAATGTGCATATCCATGTTAAAGAAGCATTTAAACAAATACATTAAATATAAACTATTCAAATGCACTTATTAAAAGGTTTTCTACTCCAAACAGTAGTTTTCTTTACATTGCTTCTGACTATGTCAGGTTTTTTTTTTTTTTAAACTTGCAAATCTTTTTGTGTGTAAAAAGTGACTGTGTATACAACAATTATTTGCTTTTACTACAAGATCCCCAAAGCTTTATTCTCTCGACTCACAACTATGCAGAGCTTGAGCTTTAAAACAATACAGAAAACTGTATTTTTGTATTGAACGCTTTTTGAATACAGAAAACTCTTGTCTACCTATAACATTATTTTGCCGAAGGCAGCAATTAGCCACATCTGTGTTCTAACTAAGAAACCATGACCACGTCACACTGTCCTTTGTACTCCTCCACCCCTGGAGGCTGAATGAAACAGTCTCTCTGCTTCTCTTTAATCTGTAATTTCCACGCTTTGGTTTCCTGTGTTGCTTTCTGCTCCTTAGCTTCATTCAATCCACTCCCTTAACCCCCTTTCTTCTACCTTATCAGACACATTGGTATCAAAAGGTACAAGTAGGTTCTACTAGGCTGCAGCTATTTTTGGCAAATTCTTGCCCCACTAATTTAAATCTGAGCAGATATTAAGAATTATAAAAAGAGATGAGAAACTGTTTGAAAAGCTGCCATTTTTATCTATATTTACAACACGTTCTCATAAATATTCCACAAATTGACTTCACTGTTCAACATTTTTATCAAATTAACAATTTTTGGTCCACCTTTGCATGCTTTATATTTTAGAATAATCTGCCTGAAGCCAGTCAACAAATATTCCCTTTGAACAGTTGTGTAATGAAACATGGAGCGCATATTTCCATCGTGTTTTCCTTCCATAACATGTTTTTCATCTACTATAAAATCCTTCTCTTTCTTTCCAACATTCGTGATCCTTTTTCCTCTCTAACTGGCCTGACTTCAAAAACATCCAAGTGATTGGAAATCCGAGGTTCCCACAGCCCGACTGACCTCTGCCGTTTCGTTCCCCAGAGACTCTGGGGGTTCTCCTCAGCTATCTATAATTGGAGAGACGAGATACCTTGACCTGCTTTGATCCCAACTTGAGCTCTGATTGCATTCTGCAGATAAACTGGTTGTGTGTGTTTGCGTATTTACGAGGCTGGGGACAAACTTTATTGCGAGGAATTATTGTTCACATTGACTGCTCTATTGCTTTTCAATTACTCATCATTTATGAAGCAATATTACGGTCTTTTGATTTAAATAATAATAATAATAATTGAGCTTTTCTTTAGCCAGAGCTCAGTTTTCCCATCTCTTTGTCTCAAAACTTTTCCTAAGGGCAAACATATTTGGAAACAGTCCAAAGTAAAATTAGAATGCTAAAACTGGAACACGAAGCAACTACGACATTGTCTGTTTGAACAACATTTAAAGTGTAAGAGATCGTTTTGACCATTTATAGTTACAGTAACCGACCCCCAGGCAGGGCCAACAAGCCTCGTCATCCTCAACGCTAACACATTCTTCAATCGTTTTGTTTTTCATATGGGACTCATCATGGTCAAAAATGTGTTCAAGCACATTTGTTTCCTCTATAAACTGGAAGTTCAACAGACGACAGCAAAGAGGATTGCTATTGCTGCTGTTCCTTGACACTGGTTTGATGCAAAAGCTTTTAAATATTTTCTATTACTCAAAAGAGGAAGAGAAACTAAGCAAATGTTTGTATTGATAGAATAAAATAATATATATCTTATCCTGTATGAAAAAGAAGTTTGGCTGTGTTTTTCTGCTTGATGATTTTTACATGTAACAACATGTTTTGTATTAATTTCCTTGCCTAAAATCTCTGGTTTAAACAAGCACAGCTAGAAATGACCATCTACAGTACACAAGATGACAGGCTGCTTAGAAAGCTGCTCAAAAGCAGTTGACAAGTCAACTTATTATAAATGACTTAGCTTAAACTTGCTTGAAGATATTGGTAGTGGCAGGTTGTATTTTGGGGGGCATGTTAAAAAGTAGTTACTTATTTAGGTTTAGTCCTGTCTGTCATGTCCACCAGACAAAAAAGTCTAGTTTATTTGTTTAGTTGCAGCCACAGGCACCATTTGCAGTCCTTGGTTTCAGCATTCATCAAACAGCATTTTGGTAAAGGTTTGAATGACTGCCAATGATGGGTTAGTACTTGTTGTCGATGGTTGGGTTGGTTAGTTTCCTTTGTCACCCTGGGGGGTGGTTATTACACTACATCCTCTCCCCCTCCCCTTGTAAACACAGGAAGCAATGCCACATTAAATTGATTTATGGGACCGATGGGTGAATGAATCAATGTTGTCAGAATTAAAATGCAAGTAAAAAAGCAGGGTTCTCACAATGACTTAATAAAATGCTAATTAAATGAAGTGATATGTATACATTAGGAAGCCTCTATCAATTTTGAGGCTGCAGGGGTGGAGAGATGGGTAGTCAATTCTGAACATGTTTTTGTAGACCTGCTTGCTTGTTTCTCTTGGCAGCATTGGAGAACAACGTGTAAATTAACCGACGTGAGAAAGAAAGAAAAAAAAATAGATATACATACACACACATACAGTATGTATGTATGTATGTATGTATTCATTCAACCTTTATTTATACAGTTTAATCCCATTGAGCCTCGGGGACTCATTTACGAGAGACCTGAATAAGTATAATACATACACATATATGTATAATACATGCGTATATAAATGTATGTATGTATGTATGTATATATGTACGTATGGACGTATGTATGTGTATGTATGTACGTATTGATGTATGTATGTGTATGTATGTATGCATGTATATGTATATATATGTATGTATGTGTTTATGCATGTATATGTATGTATATATGTATTTTTTAATTGCAAATTGCAATGACAGGAAAATGGTTTCTGTATTTGCATCAATGGGTTACTTAAAAATCAAGGCCGGGCAGTGATAAAAACAAGACATTTATACATTGATGTAAAAAATGACACTTTTTAACAACTTCAGAATAAATCTTAAAAATACCAAAACATTGCTTATAATTCCTAAGAGAAATAGGTAACTAAAAATCATAGAAAACATAAACTTTAAGATTAAGCAGCTAATGTTTTTAAACTTCTGAAAATTTTTAAAGCTAAGATCAGTACTTTTACTCAGTAATACCTGTCTTCTGGAAGGCCTCTAGCTGCTCACTGGTGAGCTCCTTGATGGACGAAGTGACAGCTTTGAAGGCCCCCTTTAATTTCTTGCCCAGCACCATGTGGTCGGGTTCGGCTCTCAGACGGATACCATACTTGTCCTTGTCCGTTGAAAGTGTCAACTGTCGCACATTGAGCTCCTATGGGATTTAAAAAAGATGTCAGACTGTCTTCAATCATATAAAGTCATGGCGTCCTAGTTCACAGAGATGCTTATAATCCTATGACGTGTCTGTATCTACATGAGAGGCATTTAGAGTTTAGGTTATGTGCATTTGGTGACTATTCAAACTAGACAAACAAAGGTTTTGCTGCTGCACAAGTAAAAAAAAAAAAAGTTATTCAATTAAAAATCTAATTTACAATAGTGTCTCAAAAATGGCAAAGATGTAGAACTTGAACTTTGCTGCTTCTACAAAATTAACAAAAACACAAACCAAAAAAATCAAATTAAAACAATATTTGCTGATAAAACTTAACGCAAATAGGAACATGCGAGCAAATCGGTAAGTTGGCAGAGTGACAAAATTAAAAAGCAAGTCAAAACAGGACGTGAGTCGTGAAATCAGACATATGTTTTTTTTTAAATCTCCAGTAAAACAATTCTCTGATCCAGCCCCCACTTGTTTCTTCAGGCCAAAAGCAGAGAAATCTGTGATAGAATCATATCTGGTGAAACAATAGAGATACTAAGTATAACCTTACTGACAGGCCCACTCTCCTCCTCTCAGTCAATCACACTGTTCAGGTTGAGGCAGAGTTCTGGCAGAGTTAACTTTTTGACAGCGAGCACAGACAGGCCACTGCAGCAGGCTGAGTGATGAAGTTAAAGGCAGCGTGGGTTGTAAAATCTGAGCTGGGCTACAAGATTCAATAAATGTACTGATTTCACAAAAATAACCTGCTTATTTTCAGAATAAATACCATATTGTGTGTGATGACTTTGAAAGTGGCAACATACAATATTACGAGCGCATTACAATGGACTGGGGCTTCTGTCAGCACAAACAGTGACTCAATGAATATTCTACAGGGCATGTTCGGCTCAGTAGAGACTCTGCCATCAGAGACGACACCAACAGGCATGTCAGTAAAGGAAAGCTGAGGAAAGCTGAAATTCAGATGCAAGAACTCCAAGTGCCAGTCTGTGGTTGACCTTTTCCGTCCTGACATGGAGAAAGGTCATTAAATGCATGTTTGGCCACAAAAGGCTGACATTCAAAATCTCATTTGCTCCACCACCTGACTAAAGCAATTTTTTAAAAATTGTTGCATCTTATGCTTTGTAAAGAACTTTAATAAAATATCTATTTTTTAGGTTCGATGCTCTGGAGCCTAAAATCAGAGACCCAAAAAGCATGTCAGCGGAGGTGTCATTTCTCTGTACTTCAAACAGACATTTTTGAGGACCCATAACTAAATGTGTATCAATCTTAATGATTCTTAAGTAAAAGCTCAAATCTGACTTAATGACACTACAGATGCTTCACAATGCACAAATATCCATCCTCCCTGGACTGTGAAACCAAATCTTTACCATCTGACCAGAAAAACATGGGGATGGATAATAAAGGACTTCAACCAAGGCAAAGTCTGCAGGATCCAACAAAAGCTCTGCTGTCATATCTTTAAAGGTTAAATCGACGTTACTCAATAACTTCATACAGAACAAAGAGCTGGAGCTGAATTGCCATCTAAATCCCATAGGAACCTTAGATATAAGATAGAATTTCAAGACAAAGTAATAGTAATAGTAATAAAGTAATAGTCAGTGCAGCTACAGCGTGCGCTCCCAGGACATTATTACCTGCAGTGTTCCCTCAGTGTGGACTGAACTAGGCAGAAGGGCCTTCTCCTACTCCGCTCCTGTTTTCTGGAATATCTTGCACAAAGATCTGAAGATCTCGGCCTTAACCTCGAAAAGTGGCTTCAAAAATCTATTAAATTCCTGGCAAAAACCAATGCAGACATTCCTGTTTTTAGTTTTCTACACCACTTTATAATCTAGTTGTTTTTTTGTTTGTTACCTTTTTAAATGCCATTTTATTTTATTTGTTCTTCTCAATTTGTATGTTTCCTTTTATGATTGCCTACAGTTGTCTTTGTTGTCTACTATTGTCATCACTCTTTGTTGGAATCAGGTCTCTCTTGTAAATGAGTCCCTGAGGCTCAGCGGGATTAACCTGTATAAATAAAGGTCGAATGGATGAATGGAAATGTAACATACCCTATAGTTGACGTAATTCTTTGTAAGGAAACCGTGGAGGTAAGTAACCAATAATGATAATAATAAAACAGGGGTTGTTCCAGCAGAACGGCCAGTTTATTTACCTCCTGTAGTTAAATGGTTTTATTAGTCTGTCTGATGAGTTCATATTAATTTTCTGCTGAATGAGTTTTAGTACTAAATCCAGACTTAGATTTTATCTTACTGTAGAAATGTAAATCAGTAATTTTACAACCAGTGTACATTAAATATGAGCTATATAAAATTGCTCCTGAATACAGACCACAATCTAATTGTGAGGTCTGTGTTATTGGTGGGAAAAAGTTAAATGTTCACATTTGAATATTTTGTCATATGTGGGGAATCAAATGTGAAACACTTTTCCAAGACGTCTGCTTCACACGCTTTTCTGAATAAGGCAGACATACAAATTTTGACTACTGCTGAAAGCGTGTAAAGATGTTCCCTCTGATGTTCACCCTCCCTCCCCCCTCATCCTCCAATATGCAGTCGCCATGCTGTGACGTGGCTCTGAAATCTGAGCTTGGTTCTGGGAAACGTTTCCTCAAACTGTATGTTTAATAGTACTGATCAAAGCACAGGAAATCAGCCAAAATAGATGAAAGCAAAAACACTACGGAGAAAAAAAATCTGTCAACTTGCAATCCTACAGAGTTTACTTACATCAAGAATGTATTTCTGCAGAGACTGGAGGTCTTTCAGGGCCTCTGGGTCTTGGTGGATAACTACCACCTCCTTCAGTGGATACTGAAAGACAAAAAAATTAGTGGACAATGGCAAGTTACGTGAAATATGAATGTATACTGTATTTTAAATGTTAAGAGTGTTAATTTCCTTCTGTGGAAGCTTGGCTTTGTAAAACGAAACCAAACAAATATATTCTGAGTTAATGTCCTCGTTCGTGAGAACTTTAAAATGGAGGCTGTGATCCTAAATAAATTAGCTTTAATTTACAAGGTGAGTTCAAAATGATTCAAGTTATTATCAAATTAATCAAGTTGTCTGGCTTGAACCAAGTTTACTGAATACATGGTTTCACGCACCCAATGCACATGAATAGCCTGACTGTGCTTTGGGTCAAATAATTGTTATTAGGGCTAGTTTTTCAACAAATCCCAAATTTGATATAAATTTGTCTCTGCATCCTGTATCACACAATAATATGAGGGTTGATTCCTCAGATTAACAAGGTAAAATGTAGTTCGAAAAGCTCTACACAGATTAAAGTCATTACTTGACTCCTTAAGTTTAGCTTCAGTTGCAGTGTTTGAGCGCACCTCGTAGAGCCGTGTTTCAAATGCTCGAGTGGTGATTTACCTTGACGGGCAGGGTCTTCCTGTCTCTAATCACTCTGCCCAGCTCAATCACAGACTGCATCTGAGAGACAGCACTTTCAATACGCTTGTCAATCAGATTCTCCCTAAAAGAAAAAAAAAAAAAATGCTTTAGAACACAAATGTTAAGTGCTACCATGTTATTGATAATGTTAATATATCGGTACTCATAGGTGCCTGTTCAGTAAAGCAAGCGGCGCAGCTAATATTAAAAGCATGTGATCACAAAAACCGTTTTCTACACATTTTTATTTTACCCTCTTAATTACAAACTAAAATAAACAATCTTTAAAATAATCACTTCATTCCGCACCCCCCTCCATCAGCTTTGTGTTGGTTCAGTCCAACTTAGCCGCACAATCGTTTATCGGACAGCGTTCAGCTGTGGAGATGATAAACAAAGCTAAAGTTGTTTTTGTGTTGTAGCTCCTGACAACAATTTTGACAAAACTGAGTAAAAACTGCATGATAATATACTCTTTAGAAGCTCAAGATTACAAAATAGTGAGGAATAGTCTTTTGCTGCTCTGATTGTTGCATATACGCAGGCTGGAGCTCAGTCTGTAGGTGTGTGAGACTCACTGGGAGCCTTTTGGGGCTGAACAGACATCCAGACAGAAACTGGACTAAGTATGGCCTAAAGGTGAAAGTAAATATTTACTTTAATTTCATTTAGGGTTTAATGAGGACTGTTTGAGTGTTTGAATAAGAACAAAAGGTTTACCAAGCAAGCAAGTAAAAAAAAAAAAAAGTCTACTATGAATATATGAGTTTTGTTCATTATGGTTATGCACTATACATCATCTGCCTTATTGTAACAATAGAATCAAGATCTTTATTGATATTTTTTCTGTATTCTCAGTAATTCTTTAGGTAACTGATAGCAACCCTCACACTCTAATTAAAGGTGAATAAAAAATCTAAATGGAAAATTGAAGCAAACATAACACACAGTGACAGGGCCTGTGCCACAAATAGTCACAGACACACTTCAGGACCATCTCCTTATTACAGGAACACCCATTACCAAGGTACAACAAGACCTCCACCTTCTTTTGAGTTCAAATTTAAAGCTGAACAACCCCAAATGAGCCCAAATAACAGAACCACTACCCTTAAATCATTTAGTCATACTGTGTGCTCCTTACATGTGCACACAAGGCAGAATAAGATGAGAAGGCAGAGCCACCGGGGACGGTCAATCGTTTAATGAGGTGATTGGGGAGCAGCTGTTCCCACCACCTGATTGGTGGCTGACCTTTGAGGTGAAGTAGTCCCATCCAGCAGCAGGAAGGACAAGCAGCTCATAAAGCAGCAGCACTAAGTGACAGGGGGGATTATGTGAACCATCACACAAACTATCTTCCTTGTGCAAAATCAAATGGACATTTATTCACGTCAGAACTTTTTCCTCAATAGTTCAAGATGGTGTAATTAAGTTTGGCCAATTAGAAATTCATCTCAGGCTTTTCAAAATAGATCAGACACCAAGCCACACATTTTAGCAAAGTCAATGAAGTGAGGGGAAAGAAATCATATTACATCAGCAAAACCCATTCTGCAAGGCAGAGAACCAGATAGTGCCATTTTTATTCTGCGCGAGTATTTCTCCGTATCTCCTTCAGTTTGCACACAGAGATGACACGACTGGAGGTCATCAATGATGTTACGTCAGCGTGAAAAATTATTTACAGCTAATTTACTACCATACACATAAAACAAAGTGATTAAGGCTGCAAGAAGATGAGTCAAAATTAATCTACAGTGACAATTCATTATACTATTCATTATTAATCAATGTGCAAACATACAGCGGGACTGATTAAATGCAGAAATGAGAATTATGACAGTCATTTACAAACTAATGTGGTCTTATGCTTCCTCTGGCAGACTTAAGAGTGTAAAACTGAAGAAAGTAAGGCCACACACTGACTGAACCAGATTAAGACTCTAAATAAAGCAGTGGATATCCTGTGAGAAAAGGGGCACATACCAAGGGATATGATGCATTTGCTGAGTGGCAAGAACAGCCATTTAAACCCCATGACCCATGCTACAGCCACTTGGTCAAAAAAAACTAAACAAAAAAAAAACAGTTTCAGTAGGAAACGGACCTGCTGAAAAGTCCTTGACCAAGAAATTACAAGATCCTGTAACTAATCTGAGTGTGAAAAGAAAGGGAGGCAAAGGGATCCACTGAAGAGAGAAATAAAGTGAGTTCTGTTTATTTAAGGAAAAATAAATCAACACGCATCTCCCTGGGGTTGGCAAAAGCAAATAGACAAATCAAATTTCAATGCAGCCAACAGATGCTCATTTACTTTATCCATCAGATGCAGAGCACCACCAGAAATCTATTAGACTTGTTTTTGGCAGCATAAATGATTTTCAGAAACACTTCATTTAACTCGAATGTTTGTTAATGTTTGTTCAGCTCAGTGTGGTGGTCCACAAAGTCCTGATGGAACAACTTTTCACCAGCTCATTGATGTTTCACTGCACATAATCTATTCATGTCAGCAAAATAATGGAAATCCCTCAGATTTACCCTTTTTGGCAGAAATCTGCTCGTTTTCTTGTTTCACTTTCTCCATGTTTGATATAAAAAAGTGAACACAGTGCACAAGAATACTAAAATAGAAATGACTAAGAAAACAGTTACAGTTTTTTTTTCCTTATTGGGACTTTTTTGACATTTTAAAGCCGACTAAAATGATTGTAAAGGCAGCCGTGATATCTATGAATGTTAAACCCCAGTTTGATGCGTTTCTGAATGTTTTTTTTTTCCCAACCTGACTTGAGGCAGCATGAGATAGTGGATGCTGTTTGTGTCTTTTTCTTCCATAGATGCTGGGTCAATGAGGTGACGCAGATTTTGGTACATCATTTCTGTAATGAAGGGTGTGAAAGGAGCCTGGAGGAAAAGAATGATGAAAGCAGGCAGACATGAGAGAAAGGAAGAACGGGGAGAAGAAAAACAAAAGATTAAACTGTCTGCTCTGCACGATTAATTTACATTATTAGAAATAAAAGATCTGTAAGTTGAGAGAAGAATCTTGATATGGCTCTTTTTTTTTTTTTCAATCAATGGGTGCAAATGTGTTAAACAGAACTGAAAAACTGCAAGCATGTCTCTAATGCAATTTTCTTCCATTTTCCCACAGCTAATTAATTTGATAGCTCACAGCTGATCTGTATTGAAATGGGTTAGGCTAACTGCCTCTTAGCGTGCCTCATAGCACACATGCAAACACCTTCAATCATGTGTTACAAATAAAACCTCCTGCAGCTGATGCATAATTCATAAGCACAGAAACGCACTCGCACACCACTCCCGTAAGTTTTTGAGTTATATTTTCTTGTACACGCGAAAAGAAAAATTAAATCACTGCAGTAATGCTCCCCCGTGCAATCACCTTTTTTTCATGGTCTCGCTTGTTTGTGTGCAAAAACCAAATGACTCACCATCAGCCTGCACATGGAGAACAGGACGCTGAAGAGGGTTTCCAGCGCCCACAGGCAGTCCTCAGTGCCACTCTCACCCTGAAAAGTTCACATCCATAAGTTCTTTCACGTTGGTGAAGTAAAAATATTGGATTAGCTTCCAGATATTAGCATAAGTAACATATCAGCCACACATTCACTGCTGTAAAATTCTCATACACAAGGTTAGATTTACTTTTCCCCCACTGAAAAAAAAAAAATTAATTACCAACTGTGTGACCTTCAAAACATGTTAGGTTCATGTCCCGCAGCAGCAGAATTTACAGATACAAGATAGTTCTAGTGATGCTTTCTGTGACCGTGTTCTCACCTTCAAGCGGCGTCTGTTGGTCCTGACGTACCAGTTGGTGAGCATGTCCACAAACTTGACCAGGTGAGGCACGACAGTGTACAAGCGGTACGCTGCAACCAGAACCAACTCTCTGTTTCAATCACACTCCAAAACAACACCAAGAACTGGTTGAGGATTATAACATATTTTAAGATGTAAAATTAAAAAAAAAAAAAACAACTAATGTCTACATTCACCAAAAGAAGCCTCAGGTTGTGGTTAAGGTTAGTGTGACGCAGTGAAGATAAATTCCTAAAAAATGATTCAGATTCAGTATGAAGCGACAGAATGACTCACCACCCATCTCAGCCTTGAAGAACTGAATGAGGGACTGTGTGAAGGACTGGATCCACTTGTCCATGATGTTGTCACTCTGTTTCGTTGTGTTTTCATTGTAGAGGAACTGAATGTTGTCCTCCTGAGAAAATTTTACAAGCACGAACGAACGTCATGTCACATACACACTTAAAAAAAGCTGTATATAGTTTGTGACTGGTGTCTCAGAAGTCCCAAATATGTCTACAACTATTGTAACCACAATGTGACATAAATAAAACCTTCTACTACATGTGCAGAGTTCATAACCATGTGAGCAAAGGGGGATGCAGTAGCTCAGTGGTCAGTGCCACATTTTTGTGAGGCTGAGGGTTCAAGCTCAGGTTGTCAGAAGGGCATCAGGCGTAAAACAGTTTTCAAACCTTTAATATGTTTGCTTACAGAGGCGACCCTGCAGAAGGGAGTGGCTAATAAAAAAATAACAACATGCCTATGTGAGCCTTCTGTTTATTTAAAAAAATGTCTTTCTTATTTGTATAAGTGCTCAGAATCTAAATGACAGAGTACATCAAGCCATACAAATACAGCTTTATAAATGACAAAGAATTCATTGTCAGGGAATTTTTTTCATCACATTTGATAAGTTTATTGCTACAATCACTCAAGTCAGCGTGTTTTCAGTTTACGTTGATATTTAATAAATCTGCAATATGCTAGTGACACAATCAGATGAAGAAATTGAGTAGATGCTTCCTTTTCACGATGGACGGATCATCATTATCATTATGGACGGATTGGATGGCATCTGCAGCCAGTTTTTTAGGATCCACTGTGGAACGGACCTTTACAAGAGATCCTTCCTGCCTACAGCCATCAAGGTCTATAACATCTCTTAATGAAATGAGGATAATGAGTTACAACAACAAATAATTTCCCTTTGGGATTAATAAAGTATTTTTGACTAATTGAATTTTCATCATTTATGTGCTGAACTAACAAAAAGGGTATTTTTTGCTTATGATTAGAATTTTTTTTTCCTAAAGTTCACGTTAGTCATCTGCTATAGAATGGAATAATACAGGAATAGTTGAAGAACGAATGTTAAAACATTCATTTTGATAAATGTACCTTTTGTAGTCTCTGTACATTCTGTACCAGAAAGCGGTAGGCGTTATACCACGGCAGGAAGACGTCCTTCAACACGTCTCGCACACCCTCCTCTTTGAATCGCAGGTTCTCTGCTCGCACCACAGGTGAGTTGATCAGGTACAGTCTACAATGAGAGTGACACCAAGTTCTGATTTCATTTATTTTACCTCTATTTAACCAAGAAAAAGCTGTTTAAATGAAAATAATCTCATTTTCAAGTGTGCCCAGGGACTGGAAAAAAATTCTGGGTAAACATAAATGAATTCTGATGGAATAAAATGTTAATGAGCATGAAGCATATTTGGTGATATGGACAGTAAATGTAAATGGGCCCAAAAAAGCAAATACAGTGCCGGTAGTCCCTCGCTACTTCGCGGTTAAATTTTCGTGGCCTCGCTCTATCACGGTTTTTCAAAATAAGATTGGACATGACACACAATTGGCTGATTGATGGATGAGCCACACAATCGGCATGGAATTTTTTATTTAAAATAAATTATTTTAAATTATTTAGCAACTGCTGCACCTCGGTGCAGCCCATACTGCAGGATAAGCTTCCTGCTGCAGCTGATCAGCTGTTCTCATGCAGATAGGAGAAGTGGGCGTGGCCAAGCATGCTTGCAGGTGGCTGAGAGCAGCGGAGGCAGAGAGCTGAAATCATGACATTCTGGGCTCTTTTAAAGCGTTTAGAGTTTAGAAACATTATCGTGGGGCTTCAGGGTATGGATCCCACGCAATAAACGAGGGACTACTCTTCATTGTGAGGACACACACTGTGGAGAGGTGAACAACTATCTGGGAAACCACATTGGAGTTTGCAAAAAATTGATATTCGCCTCTCCACATTTAAATCAAATGTTCCTTGAAGGAGTGTAAGGCAGGCAATGTTCAAAAATAACTTCGGGGCATAATGTTAACACTTCTACAGTCTGCACAAGTGAGGAACAAAATGTCCCTTTTACTGTGTGAAAAGAGATTTAGTGTCAGCTAACACATTGACAAGTGGTCTACAATGAGACACTTGGCACATGCACGATGGGACTATTCATAGCTTATTGAAGCTAAAGTAGAGGAAATAAAAACAGGCTTTTTTTTTTAACTTTTGGGTAAATCAGTGTGGCGACAAAGGAGCAGCCAAAAGAAAAAGAAATGACATTTTACAAACATGAAACAGTTGAATTTATTTCTATAAATGACCCATAATGAAATAGGAAAAATACAACTAAATATTTAGCAAAGAGTGTTTCAATTTAAAGTTCTAAATCCTGCAAGTTTAAATGAAGGGCCTTTTTTAAATAGCAACAGCTCATGCTAAAATATAAAACTAAAACAAGTGAGATAAATGTATAATGTTATGACTTCTTGGAGCATGGCCACAAAAGAACGGAGCAGTGTCAATTTTGGTCATATTCTTGTTCTTCAGGACATTTTTTTTTTCTTGATGTTTAAGTTATATTCAGTGAACTTTAAAAAAAATAGCAGCATGAAACAAAGACAGGGAATAGAAACAGATTGTTGCTGCTTTCTTTTTAATTTAGTAGATTGCTCTTCTTCAGTGTATATGCCAGCATATGGTGTACATGCAAAGTGCTTTATTAATAAAGGCCATATGTCCATAGCACTCTGGTTGCTCAGGGCAGAACAGAAAGTGTATTAAGGGGGACAAGTGATTAAACTTACATGTGATCATGCATGAGTGTGTGCATATTCTGAGTAGACATGAAGTATAAAGAACTGTTCAGTGTTGAAGGTTTAGAGTGATTCAAATATTTTAAAGGGCTCAATTGCAAAGAACATGAGGTAACTACCCTGCACCTTGCACGCAAGCGTTAGCACTTCAGGAACACACAGACTCACATTCAAGCACAAAGCTCACCTGAGGGCATCGGCTCCATAGTTCTGCACAATCAGTCCTGGGTCTGGGTAGTTCTTCTTACGCTTGCTCATCTTCTGCCCATCGCTGCAGGAATAAGTCAAGCAAAGGCATTATGAGACATCCACATGCATGCATGAACAGAGGAGCATGTTGGAAACCATGCACTTGGTATTCAAATTAGTTGAGTCCTTCCAGGTCAGCAAGCCTGGGAGCACAAAACGACACCAAGATCTCAGAACCGAGAACGAGCAGCAATGCTGCAAAGCATTTCTTTAAGGCAGCACAGAAGAAACAATAATAATTAATAATAATAATAAAGTAATAGTCATAATTTAACACTTCATTAAGATTATTACAAAGTTATAAAGAGAAATAAATCCTAAAAATTATTTAAAAAAGTGATAAGATCACAGAAGAAAAGCAACACCTACAGCTTTAAAATTACAACACTTTTTTGTGTTTGTTTAGAAGTTCTTTGCAACAAACTGGGAATGCTGCAGCTCAGGATATCCCTGCTCATAAAAAGAAAAATATACAGCGACTTAACATAAATTCACAATGTCCAAATGGGTCCCAAATGTTTGCATGCCTTCATTTACTAACAGTTAAACCAGTTTCTTATTCAGAATGTCAGACATCTGCGATAACTTCACAAAGAACTTCAAAAATCATGAGAACTATTTATCATCTGATGAGCACTGACTGATCCTGATCCAGTCAAACAATAAGAAAATTGAACGTTATCATACCAATTACCATCCTAGGTTTATGTTCTTGTACAATACTTTAAATTTGTTGTGTTTTTTTTTTCAGCTGCTTTCTTTTGTGGAGGTTTCCACAGCGAGCAAACATGAAAAATCTGGCAATTGTTTTATGCCGGATGCTCTTCTTGTCAAAACTTGGGCTCGAACTTGCAGCCTCAGGATTATGAGAGTGCAGCTCAGACCACCGAGCTACCGCAGCGTGGGTATATTACTTTAAAGTTCCATTATTTAACATTTCAGTTGATTATGAGACCCACTGAGTGAAACAACCTGGTCCACCTGAAATATATTCAGCATTCTCCATCATTAATAACACTTTAAACATTTGGCAATATTCTCATTTAACTTGCTTCTCATGAAAGTCATTTTAATTCTCAGATCAAAGAAAGGGTGACTGAAACATTTTCCTTTTTTTTGAGTCGGTGGACCGACCTGGCGAGCACCAGTCCGTTAACAATGACGTTCTTGAATGGTGGTTTTCCGAACAGCGCTGTGGAGAGGACCAGCAGGGTGTAGAACCTACAGAGACAAAGAACAAAGTCAGGTGAGACTGAAAAAGGTTGCAGCTTCCTCTCAGTCCATCCATTCATCCCTGCTCCTCTACCATCATTAACATCAGTCTCCGTCTATATCTGTCCCTCAACCCAACTCTTCTTCACAGATTAATTCAAACTCAGCTTACCATCCTCTGGTCTGGTCAATGCCTTCGGCGATGAAGTCTGCTGGGAAGGTGTCCTCAAACTCCTTCTTGTTTTCAAACGGGTAGTGAACCTGGGCATAAGGCATGCTGCCGCTCTCAAACCAGCAGTCAAACACCTCCTTAACTCTCCGCAGCTCACCTTTACCACATCGCGAAGGTATTGTCAGATTGTCAATACTGGGCAAACAAGGGCAGAAGGAGAAAAGAAGAAAGTTGTTGAAATTGTTTAAAACAAGTTCGATTTTATTCTGTAATTTTTAGACAACATGCTATAATACCATAATTGATTCACTTTGACTCATGTTGTGAAAACAAATTTACTTTTAACAGTAAATTGTCATGTTGTGGTTATTGTATGATACTTAAAAAATCAAAACAAAACATCTACAGATAAATACTGAAACAGCTTCTCTTTAGAATCACACTTTTGGTCCAGGTAACAAAAATGTGACTGCTTTGTTAAAATACAAAATACAAAATGAAAAGTACTTTTTGACTAAATCAGCATGCAATTTTTTGTGCATTTAAAGTGTTTAGCAAAGCTAGGTGGTCTGCTATTAAACACAATAAAATGTGAAGTGGTCTGCCATTAAAGGTAAAAGCTATTACCTGTAATAGCGGACCACTTCACATGTTATAATGTGGCTGACAGTTTGCCCAGCGTAAATGATCCATTTACACCTTCGGTAAATAATTTACTCTCCAGTTTATCACAGCTCTTTAGAGAGATCAAACGTGTGAATCCTGGACTAGAAAAAGCACTGAATGTGGATTCATTTTAAGCTTTGATGTGAAGGTAACTACTGGTGAAAAACGGCCAAGTTTCTTGTTGCTGAAAAGCAGCAAATCGTTCTGATACTGTGAACACAACAGTTTCCAGCTGGCTCCGAGCTACACCCGCACCTACAGATCTTCACCCACAAGACCTCCTGATGTTTGTGGTTTAAATTTGTCTCTAGCACCACCTTTTTGGAATAAGTTTGTGCCATTCTTTGGTGTGATCGGGCCTCTTTATTCTGGGCGGGTGCATGGACATACAGTATTTACCATCTAACAATAAACCGTTCTCAAGTTGCAACATGAATGCAAAGTTTAGTATCATAACATACATAAGTCGGGTTATTTTAGCTTGTAATTTGGACAAAATAAAAAACTTGATCACAGGGAGACCCCTTATGGGTATAGTAGGGAGAATGTCATTAAAACACAATTAAGCCTCACTTTAGAAGAAACATAAATCCTCAGCTTCTTATGTAACTTCAATGAGTTATTATGAAATACACTTTGCACTAACTGCAGACTCAGTCATTAAATTGCATGTTAGGCAATTAGAAAATCACTTAAAACACAGAAAGGTTTACAAAGAGTCCAGCTTTAAACATTTCATTATGCAAAGTGCTTATTCTTTTTATTAATTTTATTTTTTTTACACAATAGTCTCCTTTAACACTTATTTCAAATATAGTTTCAAACGTTTGACAGACTGAACTATTGATCAACCAATAAGTTACTTTTTATGTTTGTTTTTACTTGTTTACTTTAAAAGTAGTCAAAATATTTTCACTGACTATATTTTGTAGCCTATTATAATTATAATTCATTCAACCTTTATTTATACAGGCTAGTCTCTTTGAGCCACGAGGACTTTTTTTTTTACAAGAGGGACCTATTCCAGACAGAAAACACAAAAGTACAGACAACAATAACAATAATAACAATAAACTACAGTAAAAATGCACTTAAAAAATAAAAGTAGTGCATAAAACAATAAATCAGGGTGCTGTAAAATAAGGTAAAATACTAAAAACAAGAACATATTTGCTTTGATTTTTCTATTGACATTATCAAATATATAATATATAAATAAATATATTTAGCCCCATTAAAAAAGCAGTAAATGACAACAACCTCTTCTACACCCATCAATGGCCAGGCCTGTGGAAGTGCTTAAAAGTACCAGTAGAGGACAAAGGAAGGACAAAATGAGATATGTGTGCCATAGCAGACCATGTAGATTAAAAGAGACCATTGCAAATTAAAAATGAATGTGATGTTCTCACAAAATCACAAGCAGAGACATCACAACCGACATCACAACCAAAATATAATAAGAGGCCTGGACTCCAGAGCACATATAGGTTGTGAATCTCAGGGAATCCCACTGGTATAAAACCAATACGTGGAAACAATTATTTATTCCACGACTCACTTTTCCCGATGCAGATCTGTAACTTTCACTCCAGTTAGTTCCTCCAGCTCAGCCATGGACCCGATACAAACGACCTGAAGAATGCACACAAGCATAATACACACTGATAAAGCTGAGAAATATACATAGTTATTAAAGAGTCAATTCTTAAAAATGTATTTATACTTCGTACATAATTTCATGTGTTTTCCAACATATTACTATTCGTTTCATTCTAATTAGGGATGCACGATATTATCGGAATGGTTTCAGTATCGGCCAGTATTAGTGATAAAGTTAAATATCGGGCATCGGCTATTCCATCAAAATAACTCACAGATATAAAAGGCGCTGTTTATATATATAATCTATATAAATATATCTATCTATCTATCTATCTATCTATATATAATCTATATAATCTATCCATCTATCTATCTATATATATATATATATATATACACACACACAATATATATATATATATATATATATACACAATATATATATATATATTATCTATCTAGCTATATATATATATGTGTGTGTGTGTGTGTTGTGTTGTGTGTGTGTATATATATGTATACAGTTATATATAAGGTGCTGTTTTTGTATGACAACCCAGTGACAAGGATGCCTGCAGCGCCAGCACGTTATAACGTCGCACGCACTGTTGAGTTTAGATTTGTGAAAATTTACAAATTTGCACAGTTCGAGTGTTGTTATTGTGTTGGAGAGAGTAAATGTCATGAATAAATTTGACATTAAACATAATCCAAGTTGAAGTGTTGCATCATTTTCAGCCCCTTTTTTGGCATCTGCATTTGGTAGCAGGTCAAACTGACAAAGACCATGCAGAATAATGTAGTATTTTAATTTCACAGCAGAGAAAGCTATGTAGTCTCTGTACATAGGTCTAGGAAAAAAATAAAATCGGTATTGGTATCGATTATCGGCCAAATAAGCTTTAACATATCGGTATATCGGATATAGGCCAAAAACCCAATATTGTGCATCCCTAATTCTAATGAAACAGTTCAGCAACGATCAACAGTTTTTGTCTTTCAGAAGAGATCAGTTGCACTAATATTTTTTATTTATAGGTACAAAATTTGCACCCAGCAGTATAAACCTGCTAGATGAATAAAGCGTGAAGTCATTAAAGGCTCCCCCACTTTTTATTTAACCCAGAATAATTATATAATATTATAAATTCATAGTAATAGAACTGCTTATTACATTTAGATGTTTACATTAGAAACAGAAGTTAAAAGGAGGCCTTCTTTCACACACTTGATTAACTTCACTTTACAAAGTATGATAAAGTGTGTTATATGGTCTCCTCAGAGAGATAACCTGTAGGCTCTGCTCTAGTTTTACTAGAGCAACCAGGTAAAGTGGCCCAGATACAGCCTGGTGTACCACCACAAGAAAGGAGAAACAGTAAAAAAAAATAAAAATAAAATGAAGCAGAAAGCACAGAGGGGAAACTGAGCAAACAAGACAGAAGGAATCGTACAATCACACTCAAAGAAACAGACACGCAGATGGTTACAGCTTTAGACAGGTTACTACTGACGGGTGTGTGAAGGAGACACCAAGGAGTGCAAGTGCTCTGGAAACACTCACAATGCTATTTCCAGCAAGCAGGTCGTTTGCTGTCCTTCTTTCAGCCAGGGGACCAACGCTTCATTTTTCAAATGCTCAAATAACCCAATTCTGACATCTCTATTCAGTTCAGTCTACTTCACACAGTCAGCCCAGTTTGGCAACAGTTATTTATCATGAAACGAACATTTACAGTTTGGCGTGGTTTGCAAAAGCCCATCTTGCTTTCCCAATTTTCCTATTTTCGTTGTTGAACCTCAACAACAGTTTGTCATGAACGCCTTTGAAGTTGCCTTAACTGAAGTGAAACCAGACATTTTGAATCGTGTTAATTTGCTGTTTACGTTAATGAATCATTCATGTGCTGAGCTTATGGAGGCACTCTATAATGGTGCCAGAAGGGAGCTGACTCTGACGGAACAGTCACACTACACGCTTTGCTTTGACATCGTGGTCACCTAACTCTGCAATGCCAGAAAATCTCTCTTACACAGAAAAATGGGTGAGATATGCTAAACTATGAGTGTCAAAACGGGGTCAGCAAGATAAATGATCACACTGCAAATGTATAAAACAAAATATTTTTGCACTTATGCAGCAGATTGTTAAAAAAAAAGAAAGTATTTTCCCACAACAACCATTTTGATGATTAATAAAAATGAGAACAGCAGGGTTCAACTTTTCAACGATGTCCTCTCTTGCGCTGAGTGTTGCAGACATGACAAATAAAACAAATCTTGGCATTTGGTCCTTGTACAAACAAAACGTGTGATTATTACGGAGTAGCAATGAACAGCAGCAACAATGGTTTTCCAGACCTCCTCAAAGTCGTCGCTGACCCAAAGAGGTATCGGTGTGCCCCAGTATCGATTTCTTGAAATCGCCCAGTCCCGTGCATCTCTTAGCCAGTTTCCAAAACGCTTCTCCCGCACAAACTCTGGAACCCTGCAGAAAGAGACCTCAAGATATATTTAAATACATCTACCAAAAAACAATGAAGCACAACCAGTTCAAGAAGTAGTGAACTCTTGCCTGGCACGAGAACAGAAATATTGTTTTTGCTTGTGTTAAGCCTTCTTATAACATTCACCTTTTAAATGGAAAGCATCACTAATAATTCAGTTCAATCCAGTTTATTTATATAGCGCCAATTCACAACAAAGTTGTCTCAGGGCACTTTACAGAAACAAATACAAAAACTAAAATCCTAACACCAAGACAAACATCTACAAACTTTGAAAATGAAAACAAACGGTGTATTTATGTGGCCAAGAAACAACCTAGTTGAAATGCAATACTGCTTAGGGATACAGGAGAGCAGCTCTGGATACTGAAGAGTTCATTCACACATTAACTAACTGAAATCGCCAGGTTGTGCAACCCTGTGTGCTTAAAATCAAAAATCTAGATGATGACAGGAACCCAGAAATTGAAGTCAGAACAATTTTTAATAGGTTTAATTATAGTTATGTCATGCTTAAAAGGAAGAATCATGTGACACCATGACTGTGTGAGGACAGTAGGTACGATCTCAAGCCACACTTCCTTAATGCTCAGACTGGTTCCAAAAATACTGTCGCAATAAACGATAAATCAATTAATTGTATGATAAATGAAAATCGCCGACCTCATTTTCATTTATCGGCTTTATCGTTTTATCGTCTCTCTCCTTCTACTACAAAGCTGAGAAGATAAGCTAGGAGCTAAGCTAAGAGACCAACCTCTGGGAAAAAAACCTCTGTCTTGTCAAAGCTCCGAAATTCACGGTTGAAACCCGTGCCTTCGTGTAAAACTTTTTTCTCTGCAAAATGAAGCTGAGAACTAGTTTACTGTTTTTTTGTTTTTTATTAAAAGCTTTGTGTGAAAAATGCTATGTGAAAGAGCTCAATCCACACAGAGCGCACACAATTTTGAGAACCAAAGAGAGACAGCCCATGACACATCAAGGGGCCTCCCTCCCATTTTTCTTAGAGACATGCTGTTGCTCCCTCACTATCCATCTTTCAGTTCAGCCTTATACTGCCATCCGGTGGTTGAAAAAAGTTAATGCATGCAAAACAAATTATCAAACATTTCCTTTTAAATTTGACAATAATTATTAAATATTGTCAAATTTCAAACAACATTATCGTTTATCGCAATAATTTCTGAAACAATTAATCGCCCAGAAAAATTTGTTATCATGACAGACCTAATCATGGCTGCACTCGTAAAACAGAATTTTGTAGCTTTAATTAACAACATTAGAAAAAGATGGAATGTTACATCTTCTGCTTTTGATGGTGCTGTAGTAACCTTGGTTAGAAGAAACGTGCTTGTACCATCACATCACACCAACTTGCCAACTCAGTTCTGTGACTGCCTTTGCTGCTAGCTTAAAGACAAATCAGTGGTGAATCTACTTAAAAAAAAAAAAACTTTTGTCTTAATAATTTTATACATGGCAACGAGAGAATGTGTTATTTAAGGCCCATGCTCAAAGATTTCTAGGAGAGGTGAAAAATCTCATTCAAGTGTCAACTTGTCCCATTAAATGTATCTATCATCTTCTCCTCAAATCAATCTGTGTCACTGGCTTAGTTTTCTCCCGCTCTTGTGTGACATTGAATAACTTGAAAATATTTCCATTACAAAATATATTTGTGTTGGCTAATCCTAAAGTAGGTTGACTCCAAACGTTATTCAGTTGTAGATGTACATTCAACAATAACTTGTAGAGTTTCAATCAAATCTATCTAGTGGTTCATGATATATTTTGCTAACAGAAACACACACGCACGTACACAAATGCATGAGTAAAACGTATGCCTTTCACCTTTTGCCAGTAGGTGATAAATATCCTGGAAAAAAATAAGATGGCAACTTTATGAAACTTATCTCACAAGGTGAATAGTCCCTCCAAGGCATCTTCCTTTTGTGTTTACACTCTTATCTCCTTTCTCCTTTACCCATTTACTTCAACTTATTCCTTTGCTGTAATCTACCAATCTTCTCTTCCTCTTATTTTTCCTGTCCCTTCCTCTTGCTGCTCAGGAGAACAGTGCAGGGAGAGTATAAATCGCACCAGGATCCACACGCTAAGCAAAGAGTTCATCAATTCCCATTTGTAGGAGGCATTTCTATTTAGGCCCCTAATATATCAATTTAATGATTTTTTTTTCCCTGCTACTGCTGCAGCTCACCATCAAGTCTCCATCTTTTACCCTCCTTCTCTCAGTCCTTGCTAAATGAAGAATTTAAAGCTTGCAGTTTTGTGCTCAAAACACAGAGGAGTTATCCAAGATATAGACTCCAATTATAAACCACAGTCAGTGGGATTCAATTGTAAAATGTACAAAAACAGGGGTTATGTTCAGTAAAGAGGACTAATTAGGAGGATGAGAAAATTACAAAAACAGAGGACTAAAACAGAGCGCTAGGTGAATTTCTCCTACAGTGGATGTCCTATCAGTGCTAAGTAACTGCAACAATCCAAAGCAGGACTGTCAAAATTTTAATTTTCTTTAATCATCTCAAACATTCTGTCCATTTTACTAAAATCACAGAGGACATACTGCACAAAGGCCATTCTGGTTGAAATGCATGTTCTTCAGCTGGAGTTACCTCACAATCTTGCGGCTCAGTGGACGCAGCACCAATACCCTTTAGATAAGGACTGTATACCTTAAAGTGGTGTGTGTGTGTGTTTGTCTCAGACATTGTACATGTGTGTCCTAGCATCTTCACCTTCCTTGAAGCTACTCATACATCTTGGTTTGACAGCCCCATTACCAGAGCCAGCTACTGTTGCTCAGAAAAGAGCACTGAGAGCACCATACCACTTAGCAAAGCCGTCATACGAATACATATTCTTTGTTAAAATTACAATTGTACTCATTTCTTTAAGTGAAAATAAAAAAAAAGTAAACCATAATGAAATCGTTAGATGAGGAATACCAGTCTCATATTATAAAAATCAGTTTCAAAACCTTTGTTAGAATTCATCACCAGTCTACACATTCAAAGTTTCTCCACCAAAAGATGGACGTCCTCCATCAACAGGCCAAAAACTGAACATAGTGCAGAGCAGCAGCTGTAACTGTTTTGGGACTGCACCTATGTTCTGGTCTCAATCAAAGCATTTAAGACCACTTGTACAGTAAAATGGTCATATTTGTCATTTTATTCACTTAATCACAAGCTACTCATCACTTGGTTTGGGAAGTCACTTACCAGTAGCATTTCCCATTGCACTCCAGAAGTTTGTCCACTATGTGTTCGACTTGTACAAACCAACTGGGAACAGCTTTATAGATCAGGGGTGTGTCAGACCTGAAAAACACAATAACTCATTACAAAGACAATAATAATAATACAAATAAAATGCTACAACAAACTGAATCTGATAGAGCAAATAATCTATGTTTTACTTCTTAGCAAGAACTTAGGTTACAAATAATAACATACAGTAAGTGGGAGAAATCCTATCAAATGTATGGCTAGGTGACACTTTTCACTTCAATCTCTTGTTTTCTAGCAGAGATCTGGTAGTTTGAGGGTTCTGCACAGCATCTTAGTGGTTTCTAGGACTGCATGCTTCTGGACAGAGATGATCTCTGATGATGGCTCTGGGATCTGCTATAGTAAATGCCCCAGTTTGGAGGTCACAGCCCTAAGGGCTCTGATGACCACTGGCACCAGTGAGGCCTTGACTTGCCACCACTTCACCATTTCCTCTTTCAGTCCCTTGGTATTTCTCAAGCTTCGTGTTCCTTCTTCTTGATGTTGCAGTCGCATGGAATTGCCACACTATCACCACTGCCTTACTCTTTAGCCTTTTGATTAACACAATGTCCAGTTGGTCAGACAGCATCGGTTTGTTGGTGGGTGGTTGGTGCAGTAGTACCATAGTAGTATGACAATGGAACGACTTTGCATGACTTTGGAATGAAAGATCAGGGGTTCAAACCTTGGTGCAGCCAACCTCTGAGCAAACTTTGTTTATAATAGGAAAGATATATGGAAATCATGACTTGCTAGCTTGGACATGGCCTGAATCAGCAAGGTTTGCATCAAATGTTGGGCATTCTGATGAGAAACGGGCGACTGGAACAAGACATTCATGGACAAGGGCAGATCATTTAGCACTGTTGGAACATGTACATAAAAATGTAAAAGCAGAAAATGTGGCTGCTTAAAAAAAAATTATAATTTCAATTATTTTTCCCAGTGGCTATGTGAGTACATCTTTGTATTGAAGTCAGTTAATCTCACTCAGATTAAACTGCAGCTGTTCTATGATAAAGTCTCATTTAGCCAAATCATAATTAAAGTTTTTGTGTTTCTGCATGTGCCTGATGGTTTTAACGTGATGTAGCACCTTGAGCCAACAGGTCAGTTACCAGTTTGACATTGGCTTTGTTAATCAAGAGCCCATCAAAATCCAAGCCCCAACCACTGTGCAAAACCCAGACCTTAATGGTGTCCAACAAAATAGTACAGTTGGCATTTAAAGAGGAGTTATTTACAATCTTATCAGACCAACATCTGTAACCTCTAACCTTCTTTTCCAGTTGGGTGGATTAATCAACCCTGCAGAGAAAGTCTCAAAATAAAACTGTTGGTTTAAGTGAGTCAGAGGAAGGAAGGATACAAACATAGTTTAATGTTTAAAGTGGATTCTGTATGCGTCTCACCTCCAGCAGAAGGGATAGTTGTGTTTGAAAGTGCTGACATTGACCAGGCGTCCCTTTTCCTTCAGCAGCTTAATAATGTTCTTGTCGGCGTCCTGAAACAGAAAATGGAAGATTTATTGATAAATAAAATCTTCAATGGCAAAATAGCTCTAAAAGATCCATTGAATACCACTGCACATTATTGCTGGAAGGTGAAACAGCCAAGAGTCAGCAAAATGCTTTTATATTAGCTTTTGCTGCTTTAGGTGTAAGACCTATTAAACAATTATATTTTCATACTTGTTTTGGTTTAAATATTAAAAACATGAACTTTATCAAACTTTTTGTTAATAATGAAACAACTGTGATATTATGAGAAGAAAAACAGAAACTAAACCAAACAATATTTTTTAACATTCACACTGATCTGCCGCAATTAATTTTCAATTCAGTTCAGTTTATTTCTATTTTATTTCTATTTCTATCAGGTCTCTCTTGTAAATGAGTCCTCGAGGCTCAATGGGATTTACCTGTCTAAATAAAGGTTGATTGATTATTTATATAGTGCCAAGACGCAACAGAAGTCATCTCAGGATACTGAACAGAAACAATTATCACACTATTGCATTTCATTATACTGTATTTTTATCTGCTTTAGATTATGGACTCTTAGGCAGTGAAAGTTTTGTAAGGCAGTGCTTGCATAGTAAATGCATAGTATATAGTAAGCAATGTACAAGTAACCATATAGATACGAGTACACTTTTCTTTCTTTTTTTTTTACATAAAATGTCATATGTACTTCACCAATGTAGACATTTTATTTTAGAATAATTTTAACAAAAACAGGTAATGAGTTAAAAATGCATTCGATCTTTTGGGGAGTTTTTTTTCTCCTAGTCATCATTAACCCTTTATACAACTGAAATAAGCTGTTAGAAAAAGAGAAGCCTGTAAATGCTTGATCAAGCATTATGCAACCTTTTAAAAAATTGACACTTATTGCACCCAAGGTCACAGCCTGCATAAACAGCAATGATAAATATCACCAAAGAAAGGAACGACATGTTTTCTTGTGCAGCTCACAGTTTATGGTAATGTTTTATGCAATCAGCCAACTGAGTCATCACAAGCCATTAATTTTCCTTGAACTGAGTTTATGAGAAGCTCATAAATACGAGTACTCAAAGTGCTTAGCAGAACTATCTTGAGCTTAATCTCTTTGTAAAGACTTTATTTCAATTCAGTTCAATTCAGTTTATTTATATGGTGTCAAGTCACAACAGAAGTCATCTCAGGGCAGTGAACAAAAACCATTCATGTACATTAAAAAAGTCTTTTTTTTTCTTCCTTTTTTCGGCTGCTCCCTTCTTCAGGGGTCGCCACAGCGAACTAAATTGCACGAAGACTTGGCAATTTTTTATTATTTTTTTTACGCCCGATGCCCTTCCTGAGCCAACCACAGACCATCGAGCTACCACAGCCCTCTGTGTGGAGCAGAGAGCTACTATTTAGGGCACCTGGGGGAGTAGATGGTGGGGGTTAAGAGTCTTGCACAAGGGCCAAGAGTGTGGCATATGAGAATGGAGGCAGGTGTGGGTGCTTCACCTATCCCACCCACATTTTGATGTTGTCGGTACTAGGAGATGAACCAGTGATCTTCTGATCACAGGCTCACTTTCTCCAACCTCTGCGCCACCACTCCCTTTCGTGTACATTAAAAATTCATGCACATTAAAGAAGTCAGTTACGGTAGTAAGAATTAACTTGTATAAGAAAGTCAGCAGATTGTGTTAAATCTTCACTTCATCAAAGTTTCCCATCCTGAACAAGCATGAAGCAGCAGTGAAAAGGAAATACTCCCTTTTAACAGGAAGAAACCTTTAGCAGAACCAGGCTCAGGACGAGCGGTCATCTGCTTCGACCGGCTGGGGTTCGAGAGGACAGGAAGGAGAAACAAACAAAGATAAACAGGTCCATGTGTACTTTCTATTGGAAGAAAGGCAAAAAACACGAGCAAGTAAAAACACCAGCTGAGTGAGGAAATGTGGTCAATTTGTCCTCCAGCAGTCTAAGCCTATAGCAGCATAACTAAGGGATAGCTCAGGAAAACCAAGCTGACCCGAACTATAGGATTTATCAAAAAGGAAAGACTTAAGCCTAATCTTAAAAGTAGACAATGTGTCAGACTCACAGACAGAAACTAAAAGTTGGTTCCATAATAGAGGAGCCTGATAACTAAAAGCTCTGCCTCACATTCTACTTTTGGAAACTTTAGGAACTACAAGTAAACCTGCAGTCTGAGAGTGATGTGCTCAGTTAGGAAAATATGGAACAATGGAGTCTGTAATATAAGATCAAAACACTTCATCAGTGGAGTAAAACTAACCTGCCTCACAACGGTCTAATGCCACCTCAGTTTTCCATTAGTGGGTGAACAATCCAATGCTTGGTGAATTCTGAGCCAGGTTGTTGAGTGTTTTGTAGGGTAGAAGTAAGATTTTGAATTCTATTCTGAATTTGACAGGGAGCCAATGGAGAGAAGCTAGAACTGGAGAAATATGATTTCTCCTATCAACTCTCATTAAAACTCTGGCAGCAGCATTCTGGATCAACTGAAGACTTTTTTTAAAATATTTTTGGACATCCAAATAATAAACCATTGCAATAGCCCAACCTAGATGTGATAAATGCATGGACCAGTTTTTCTACATCATTTTTGGACAAGACGTTTCTTATCTTAGATATATTACATAGGTGGAGGAAAGCAGTGATCTGAACTTTTTTAATGCAGGGGTTTAAAGACATATCCTGATCAAAAATACCACCAAGTTTTTTACATCAGAACTGGAGGCCAAATTAATGCCACCCAGTGGAAGTGAAAGGCTGCAAAGTGAATTCCTAAGATGCTCAGGTCCAAAAACCACAACCTCTGTCTTGTCTGAGTTTAAAAGCAGAAAATTAAGGGTCATCCAGGTTTTTATGTCTTTAAGACATGCTGGTAGTCTAAGTAATGGACTGGATTCATTGGGTTTCATGGACAAACATAGCTGTGTATCATCAGCATAACAATGAAAATGTACCTCATGCTGTTTAATCACATTACCTAATGGAAGCATATACAAGGTAGAGTACCGGTCCAAGCACTGAACCCTGAGGAACTCCATGACTAACTTTTGTGTATGAAGATTCATTCATATTTACAAAAAGAAATACATCAAATAGATATGATTTAAACCATTTTAGAGTTGTTCCTGTAATCCCAATATCATATTGCATGATGCTCTGTAATAGATTGTCATCAACTGTACCAAATGCAGCAATGAGGTCTAACAGGACCGGTATAGACATAAGTCCATTATCTGAGGCCATGAGAATATCAGTAACTTTCACCAGTGCTGTCTCTGTGCTATGATGAGCTCTAAACCCTGACTGAAACTCCTCAAATAAATTATTTCTGTTCAGATGTTCACACAATTGACTTGCAACTATTTTCTCAAAAAAATGTTGAGGTGAATGTTAGATTAGATATAAGTCTATAATTGGCCAGAATTCCTGAATCAAGATAAGACTTCTTAAGTAAAGGTTTAATTACAGCAACCTTATAGCACTGTAGTACATAACCATTCATTAGAAATAAATTAAGCAGATCCTAAATGTGGATATTAATTATGGGACATACCTCTTTATACAGTCTGGTTGAGATGGAATCTAGCAGACATGTAGATGATTTGGATGAAGCTATTATTTTTGATAATTCAGAGAGCTCAACAGGACAAAAACAGTTCAAACATAAATCAGGTTCTAGCGACATTTCTGAAGTTGCCACATCGGGCAGGGAATCAGAGGCAATAGCAGGAAGGACAGTGTGATTTTTTCTCTCTCTAATTTAAATAGTTTTATTAATAAAGAATTTCACGAAGTCATCACTGCTTAAAGCTGTAGGGATACATGGTTCAACAGAGATAAGATTTTTCATTAGTCTAGCTAAAGTACTGAACCGAAACCTGGGAATATATTTATTATCATCTATTAAAGATAAATAATTTAGAGTTCAAGCTTTATGGAGGGCTCTCCTACATGTTAGCAGGCTATCTCTCCAAGTTAAATTACATTCTTCCGTGTTAGTAGAATGCCATTTTCTTTCCAGCTTTCTAGATGCCTGTTTTAAAAGTATGTAACCCAGAACTGAACCAAGGAGCCCACTTCCTCTGACTGACACTTTCTTTTTCAACTGCGCAATTTTATCAAGTCGTTTGCATTAAAGTTGCAAAATTATCAACAAGATTATCTAAGTCACAGGAAAACAACAATGGAAGAGATTTTTTAAAATTAGTTACAGCATTCTCTGATAAACACATGCTATAATGAAATTTACTCTCAGTGGCTGTGTAATCAGTTAATGCAAACTCAAATGTTATTAAAAAATGGTCAGACAGAACAGGATTTTGAGGATGTGTTACTAAGAACTTACTCTCTATGCCATATGTCTGAACCAGAACGAGTGTGATGAGAAATGTGAGTAGATGAGTGGACATTTTGGGTAAAACCAATTGACTCAAATATTTAAAGGCTATGCATAAGCTATCACTTTCAACATCTACATGAATATTGAAATCCCCCATTGTTATGAATTTATCAGTATTCAATAATAAGTTGGACAAAAAAAAATCTGATAATTCATATATGTTAGTAAATTATTTAGACTGACCCTGGGTTTCTGATCCAGTCCGAACCGGGTCATAATGTTATTATAATCCCATCTCTGAGACGGGATTATAACAACATTATGACCTGGTTCTGAGCAGTCTAAATAATTTACTAACAAATAAAAACCGAGAATAAGGGTGGACGATACACAACAACAAGTACAAGTGGCTTTTCTGATTTTAATTTTGGATGAGAAATCTTGAGGGACAACGAGTCAAAAGCTAATAGCTAATAATTGGTTTAGCAATAATCAATAATCCTGGCTGAAAACTAGAAGCTACTCCTCCACCTCGACTGGTTGTTCTAGGAACTTGAAAATTTAAATAATAAGCAGAAGTGGATTCATTTATACTAACAAAATCCTCCTGCTGTAGTCAGGTTTGTCAGACAGAATAAATCAGTATGATGATCGGTTATCAGTTCATTAACTAACAGGGATTTAGAGGAAAGAGATCTGATGTTCAAAAATCCACAGTGATTTTATTATTTTGTTCTGTTAAGGTAACTGTGTTTATTTTAATAAGATTTTTATGATTTATATGTTTAGAGCTGATTTATGGTTTATTTAATTTGAGCCGTGGTTGAGCTGGCACTGTTTCAATGGGGGTGTGGGTGGGTAACAGAGGAGAAGCAACAGAGAGGTGTGGAAGACTACAACTCTGCTTCCTGGACTGGACCCTGGGTTGTCAATCATTTGGAGGATAAACAAAATCTGCCCAATTTCTAGAAAGAAGAGCAGCTTCCACCAAAGTAGGATGGATGCCATCTCTCCGCATCAGACCAGATGTCCCCAAAAAGCAGTCGCTATTTATCTACGTAAAAAGTATTTAAAACATCTGTTATTTTGCCTTACACATGTATTCCTCTATTCTTAAATTACACAAGTTAAAACTCAAAATGAGCTACTGTAATTAAATTATGAATAATAATTTTCATGTGAAATCTGCCTCCATCCCAGTGGAATAAGCAAATTATTTCAATCCAACTGACTGAGAATTAGAAGATATCTTGTATATTGGGCAAACATGAGATCATGGCAACAAAGTCTGAGTCAGTGTTACAAGAACAAAGTTAATTATAAACATAAAAAGTGATAAAAACACTGGTCTTAAGTTACAGGAAAAAAAAATATTACTGCATCATTTTGTTTGCACTCACTTAATCTTTATTAGGTAACAGAAGTTTACATTAGTGATCAAGAGTTGTGTTTTGCTGAAACAATTGCAGTAAAACTGGGGTGATGTGCTTTATCTGCACTGAGCTGAGAGTTTTAAAGTTGAGGCAGCAAGAGCTAAAACTTAGACAAGAGGTGGTTTGATGACAAAAGTGAGAAACTGTAATACAGAAAAGTGACAGAGGTATGACAGTGAGGCTGACTTGGCAAGAAAAGAGGGAAGGTAAATTTAGCTGGAGTACTGCAGGAGCAGGTGTAAAGAAAAATGACTGAACAAGGAGAAATGAGGGCTGCCAAACACAGAATTAAGAGGAGACAGGGAGAGCCAATAAAGAAAAAAATCGGAATATGAATTCGGAAAATAATGTGGAATTTTTCAGTAAGAGGTACACAAGGGTAATGGAAAGCAGTAATGGCAAAAAAAAAACAAAAAAAACAAATGCACAAAGGGATTAATATATAAAGGATTAGGAGGGTTGGATATGAACTGAAAAGATCTTCATCTGCACATAAAATCCCAAACAGAAGTGCACAAAACAGTTGTAAAATTTTCAAAATCTTACATTTCTGTCACTTAGTTTAGAATCCTGGTGCGAGATAGCACACCAGACAAAATGTGCTTGTAACCTCATTTTGTCATTTCATCAGAATTCTTCTCTCTTGTTTAACATGTTCAACAATACCCAGCCCTATGAATAATGAATAGACAGATATTATTTTGAGTCTCTAAGAAGAATGAGGCGATTCCTCTGCTCCACAATGCACTGCCAGTTTTCTTCATGACCTTTCTGGACATGCCACAGCTCTCATCCTCAACATTTAATTATCTTCTTTGGTAATTCCAAGCCTCTGTTCTTCTCCTTCCAGCAGCTTCCTGTAGGTTGCGATCTCTGCATCCAACTTGAGTTTAATGTGCAGCAGTTCCTGGTAGTCTTGAAGATACTTGGTCATCTCTAGTTTGGTGTCACAGAGTTGGGCCTCCAGCTGAGCGATGATGCTCTCTAGACCGCCCACCTTATCCAAGTGGGAGATTTCCATTTCATCCAACTGGTGCTCAAGGGCGGCATTGCGAGCCCTCAGAGAATCAATCTGGTTCTGTAGATCTGACACCTGGTTATGGAAGGTTGAGATTTCTTCTTTCATGGTCTTCATCTGCTCTTCATTTTTGCCTGCATGCTCCTTCAGGGTGTCAAACTTACCCTTGTACCACTTCTCAGCTTCCTGGACGTTGCGGGCAGCAACAGCTTCTATCTCTGCACGCATGTTGCGCAGATAAGCAGCCAGGTCAGGACGATCACCGTCCATCTCGACAGAAATCTTTGAGTCCTCAATCTGCTTCATGAGGTCAGCCACCTCTTCATCATGCAGCTTCTTGAGAAACTCTATCTCAGCCACCAGTTGTTCTATGCGCTTTTCGAGCTCTGCTTTTTGAAGCGTGGCATTGTCAACATCCTGACGAAACTCCTTTAGAATCAGCTCCGCTTCTTCTTTGAGCGCCATCTCCTCTTCCAGCTTCAGTCTCCATACTTCAACCTCCTCTTCAATGTAGCCTCGTTCAATATCTGCTGCTCCCTTCTCATTAGTCAGGCTCTCAATCAGCTCCCGCACCTCTTTGAACTTGAGCTCATACTCATCGCCGATGCCTACGGGGCTTCCTTTATACCGGTTTTGCAGCGCCTCCAGCTCAGCTTGAAGAGAGGCATTTCTCTGCTCAAGTGCCTGGACCTTTGAGATGTAACCTGCAAACTTGACATTGAGTTCTTGCATCTCCTCTTTCTCGTTGGCATGGTGTTGATGTATCTCAGTGCCCAACTCGATGGCAGTTCCACGATTACCGGAGCGCCCACGGCTATCATAAGAGGATCCACGGCAACGAGAAGGTGATGGACTCTGAACCCTGACTCTGCCACTGGAGCTGCTCACTTGCAGGCTCTTCTGGGTATATGATGAAGCTCTCATGTTGGCTAAAATGCTGGGCTTGCTTTTTAGTTTCCAGACAAAGGAATTGCTCTGTTGCGTTCTCACTCTGCCCACGTTGAACTGGCTCTCTTGGATCCCCTTTGTGTTTTTATATGGCAGTAAAGAATGTCTCAGGCAGCCTTGAAACTCAGGCGACGTTTTAACACATTTCAAAAGTGGATTATGACAGACTGTCAGAGAACTGTAGCTGCATGCTCTTTATTACTTAGCAATGTACTGTTAGTGGTCAGAAGGGTCAAGTCCACTCCCTAGCCTTGCCACCAGGACATGAAATAGTGGTCACATCATGTATGACTGCTATTTTTAACTCATTATCAACTCGGGACGCTAATGAAGTTGTGTGTGATGGACAGTGAGAGGGTATCCAGTGTTATGATAAACAATGGCAAAATGCCTTGACAGCGCATTCCCCCAAAATCAAAAATATGTAACAGGAAATTTTTTTTTCAATGTAATAAGCATGAAAAACATCCTTGGAGTGAGACAAGTTGATAATGAAATGCCACGTTTAAAACTGCTATCAATATTATTGAGCCGTTTATCCCGAGTATCACGTCTGCCTGCGGCTTTAAGAGTAAAATGGCTGAAACATTTGTAAACTTGATCTCCATGTAAATGTATGAAGTGTCACTCACTTTGACATACTGTCCTGCAAAGTCAGTGACCTCCGAAGTGAAGCAGCCTGAAGCATCCACAGGGCAAACAGGAGCCTGATCTCTCTGGATGATGTTATATTCGGAACACACCCTGTAATCATCCTGCAGAAAGAAAATTAATACAATTTAAAAGCAGCTGTGGCCAGTTTTCTATTGTTAATATTAATTCATGCATTTCTAACATACTTATTAGAGCAAATAAGACACTAAGATTACACTATGTTACTGACATTGTTTATTTTAGACTTTATTGCTATTAATATACTTAATTACATAATTAGAGTTTCCCCTCTGGAAACCTCTTCACCAGTTTAAAGACATGTTAAGACTGCACATTAAATTCCTTGTTGAGTTCAACACTTTTTCCAGCATTGAAACAAGCACAACTGGTATGTGGCAGCTATGTATGAAAGATGAGCTCTGACCAGCTCTAAATGTAATTTGTATTCAAACACCCTGTCAGGATTCAAGATCGATGACTCATAGGGTCATTTCACATCTAGTCATAACAAAAATAAAATTTGAAAAATGTCGTTTGGCAGCCCTTTTTCTCTTGCAGTGAAATCCTTGGAGCAGACGCATTCGTATTTCAGCTTTTACTACCAAACAAATCGATATGAATCTGACCAATGAACATAAAATCGGAAAACCAAAAGAAGCATTTAGATGCTAATTTAAGCAAGATGTAGACATATGTGATTGAAACCAAAGTGTTTGGAGACTGAAAACTAAACATCTACATCCTGAGGAGAAAGCTAAACCTGGAAGTGCTCACAACAGGCTTCAGTCAAAGGAGCATCCATCTGGCCTAAACAAAGCGCCTAAGCTATTAGTAACGAACTAACATCTGCATGTATCAGGAACTAACATCTGATTATATCGCCTTAATATGTTCATACTGCAACATTTTATACAAATGTTTAATAACACTAATAAAAAAACCTTTTAAAATAAGTCTTAAAAGCAGGCCAAAAAAAGAAGAATTTTTTTACTTTTTTTGTCCATTTATAAGGCTACGCTACTGTTAAGACACCGTTCATTTCACATTACCATCCATTTCTATACTTTAACAAGGTGGAACACAACGCTGCCGAGTAATCTCTGTAGTGAGAAATAGAGCAAAGAAAGAAGGAGAAGCTTTAAGGCGATACTCACAGCTCCAAAGTAAGGTGCCTGGTGGACCACTCCTGTGCCCTCTTCCTCCTTGACATAGTTATCTGTCACCACCTGGAAAGCTCCTTTCTCCCCACACTTGAGTCAAAGGAGAAGAATTAAATAAAGTGTGGCAGAGGGTGAAGAAGCAGAATAACTACAGACAAATTGAAAGGCTAGCTTCATGGTTTCCCTGTTCAAATGATGCATGTTACTGATCTAAAGTCCAACTTAAAAAAAAAAAAGACTTGATAAGTGTGGATAATAGCTACCATTAATGGTATTTAATTTTTATTTTACTTTTTCTGTCATGTTATGTATGAATAGGACATTTATCTAGGTAAATATAGTCCATCCATGGATGTAAATAATTTTGCTACACACAGACAGACAGTGACAAACAGAATATAGATGACAAAACATCTCTCATTCAAGCTTCATGGCCAAGTAGTCTCAAAACCCATGAGTTTGTTTTAAAATAAAGATTTAACCATAAAGAAGGATTTCAAATGTGGGTTTAGGACAAAAAAATGAGAGTGATATATGCTTTGATTTTATATTAACTAAATGTAAAATAAAAAACAAAAGAAATAAAAGATTCCACCAACCTTGGCAAAGTACTGAAAAAGAGGTTTGTACTTTTTCCCTTTCAAGATCTTTCCAGGAAACCTAGAAACAGATTAAAGACCTGTAACAAGTGTTGTATAAATTTGCAGAAGATACAATCCAAAACTTCCAACAACTTTTAGATATGAGCCTAAATAAAGCAATCACTTAAAACAAGGGGACTTAACCGCAATGCTAAGCAATTTCCACAAGTCATACACTAAATAATACAATGGTTTGGAAAAAGAGTAAATGTTACATTTAATAGAAAAAAAAACTAAAATATTTATTTAACTCATTTTGTAATTCTTGTTATAATGACAATTTTAGAAATTGAGGTCTAATATTGTACAAAATACGAGTATTAGATAAGGCAGTCCAGAAAAAAAAATCTTATGGTAAAAATTAATCGTAGCACAACATAAAAATCTTACAATCCCAGGCTTTAAGATTTATTTGTTGTTGTTGTTGTTGTTATTGTTGTTGTCTTTACCCCAATGACTTCTTGCATCTTACAAAGATAAAATACCTTTATGAGAAAAAACAATTTTAAAAGGAGATATGGTTCTGCTTTCAGCATCTTCATCAATAAAGATTGTTCTACTTGTTGGGGACAAAATCTATCTTGGAATCTTCAAATATTTCAATACAAGGAATATTTTCACATTGGTAACTAAATAAGGGATGTTTCTTTTAAAGATAACTTAAACTAGTGCAGTACACATATAGATTTAATTTAGAAATTCAGTATCAGTGAGTTCAATATTAAAATTGGAAAGCAATGCAATAAATGTTGGTCCATTAAGTCAGAGTCAGAGCGTCAGAGTTTCTTTATTGTCATTCGCACCTCATGTGGTACATGTGGTGGAGCGAAATTATGTACACAGGGTCCCAGTTACATCCAACAATAAAATGTATAAGAAAAACAGTAATAACATCTAAGATATGAACTAAGAAAAACATCAACTAAATATACAATAAGCACTCGTAACATAAAACATTGAACATCAGCACAAACATGAACATGAGTCTGTGTGAGCGGATGTGCACGCATGAACACATCAACATGAAACAGATCAGCAGCAACATGAAACAGATCAGCAGCAACATGTCGTGATTTTTTCACAGTGATTATTCTGGTTAGAGATTCATGAGTCTAACAGCCTCAGGGTAGAAGCTGTTCCTCAGTCTAGTGATTCTACACTTAATGCTTCTCAACCTCCTTCCTGAGGGGAGTGGGGCAAAAAGTGTGTGTGCTGGGTGAGTGAGGTCCTTCATGATGCAGGTAGCCCTCTTCCTGCATCTGGAGGTGTAGATGTCTGTGATGGTGGGGAGGCTGACTCTGACAGACTTCTGTGCAGCCTATTCTTAATAGTTATTTCTATCTTAATTTCTATCTTATTTATATCTTAATTCTTAATACTATTCTTAAACATCTTCATAACAGTTAGTTGGCCAGTGCAATAAACCTTTGACGTCCACAGTCGACTCAGTAGCTAAGATGCTTGTGAGCAATGTGATGACAGGAACAAGAGAGAGAAGTGAAAGAAAGGAGGTAATCTCAATATGATACCACACACTGCATGCTGTTCTGATACTAAGCAGTTCTAACTCAGATATGTATGTTTTTCTTTGTGCAAAAACTTTGATCCTGTGAAAGGTTTTCTATCCAGAGTTCAGCACTTTCATCTAACGTGGCACTGTTAATTTGTCCTAGAACCTGAATGGGATGAGTGAGAATAAGTTAAACCTAAACGTGTTCTTTCAGATTTCAACACATTCTGCATCCATTATTTATTCCGGTGTTGTATTCATTTCCCTCTGCTTCATCGAGCTGGGAAACTGGGAGAATTATCTCCTTTCTGCTGCAACATTATTTATGTCTCTGAAGTCTGGAGGAAAAGTCAATAAAGAACGCTTTGTGGAAAGAGTAAAACTCAAGTTTGGAATGCCAATCCCTCAGTAAAAAGAAAATAACCTGCTACCATTGGTCATTTCTATGAATGATGAAATCTCAAATTAAAAATGGAAAAAAAAAAAACGCAACAGCAGTGTTGAGATTTTACTACCGGTACTGAACAGTGAAGGAGTAAAAATGACAGGTACTGAACTGCACATGTCCTGATGTGTATGATGATTGGAGAGAAAATTCTATCCAAAGTTGAAAATATTTATGTGGTTGCTGAATAAATCATTGTACTATTCTCAAATTTAAAGAAAATTGTTGTAAAAGCCTACAATGTAATGTAAATTGACATTATTCATAATTTGTGCTTTTCTTGTAAAAGTTAAGTTGTGTTTTGTACTCACTTGTCCAAGATAGTGTATTCACTCTCTGACTTAAAAAGAGCTCCCAGTCTGGCCTCCATCATTATGTAGGTCTTTCCTGTAGAGTGATCTAAAGAGGGAGGGAAATAAATACTGCCATTTATTGAATTTAACATTTGCCTTACAGTTTGACAAAAAGAACAATCCCCAATTAAAAATGTCTAACAACAAAGTAATGCATCACATAGTACATAATGTTTGCACCATTCTTCTTCACAAGAGGTGCATCATTTTGTTAAAAGTTTACAGCTATTCATCAAGGCAAAGCTCTCAAATTTTCCACCACAACAGCTCCGTCTATGTGGGTAACCTTTTCCACTGGGCTAATCTACCTAAAATACACTGTTCTGCATGTTTTATGATTTGTTACGATGAATCTTTGTAAACTTCATTTATTCATTCAACCTTTATTTATACAGGTTAGTCCAACTGAGCTCATTTACAAAAGAGACCTGATTTTAACAAAGAGTGATGGCAACAATAAACAAAGACAACAGTAGACAACCATAAAAGAAAGAATATAAATTGAGAAGAACAAATTAAAGAAAATAGTATTTAAAAAACAAAACAAAAACAGCTAGATTGTCAAGCAATGTAGAAAACTAAAAAACAGGAACATGTCTGCATTGGTTTTTGCCATGAACTTAACAAATGTTTGAAGCCACTTATAGAGGTCAAGGTCGAGAGCTTCAGATCTTTTTGCAAGATATTCCAGGAAACAGGAGCGGAGTAGGAGAAGGCCCTTTTGCCAAGTTCAGTCCTCACTGAGGGAACACTGCATATAATAATGTCCTGAGAGCGCACGCTGTAGCTGCACTCACGCAGAGGCATGTAGGAGGAGATGTATGAAGGAAGCAGACCAAGAAGTGATTTTAAGATGAAAATGTACCAGTCCACGTGAAGTTAATGATGACCAGTTAATTAGTGAATACAGGGTGCAATGTTGGGTATGATAGTTACAGGCAGTTATAAATCTTAGCGCACCATTAGACAGCATCCAACATCTGCAGGGTGCTTGTAGGAGCGTTTTTGTAAATAATGTCACCATAGGGAAGGAAAATCGCAGTCACAAGACATTTCCTAGCATTCAGAGTTAGACAAGATCCATTTCTGTAAAAGAAACCCAATTTAGCTTTCAGTTTCCTTACCAAGTTTTCCATGTGAAGCTTTAAAGAGAGCTGCGAATCGACCAAGATACACAAATATTTGTAGGAATCAACAAACTCAATAGGAGCACCATTCAAGGATAAAATCGAAGGAAGGACTGCTGGGACCGAGTTCCTGTTTCAGAACAACATTCCTTTGGTTTTGTCGGCGTTTAGGAAAAGTTTGAGATGGAACAAATCTGACTGGTTAATGTCAAAAGAGGATTGCAAAAGCTGGAAAACCTTAGCAACTGTTTGAGCTCAACAATAAACAACTGTATCATCAGCATAGAAATGTAAGGATGCATCAGGGATGGTCTGACCTACATTAGCTATATAGATTGTGAAGAGGGTGGGACCTAAGACTGAGCCTTATGGTACACCATTGTTAACAGTTAGATAACTGGAAGAAGTACCATTATGTTGAACACATTGTCTTCAACCAAGCCAACTGTTTTGTTTTGATTTTTTATTTCTTAGAGAAAATACACTCTTGCTTTGCCAAATGCACTAAAACAATCTAAATGAACAGTAAATTTAACCATATTTAATTTCATTTAAATTGGGCAAATAAATAAAATTGGGTGAAAAACATGTAAAGCCTGAATTTGCAACAATTGATTCAGATTTTAATTGTTTTCCAGTGATCATCAACTCAGTACAATCCTTGGTGTGTTGCAGTTAGTCTAAAACAGTCTTGGACTTCAACCTGTAAGGGTCTGATGGGAGTTCTTGAACTTTAGGCAGCTTCTCTGAGTCTGCGCTGACCTTTAAGTGAACTTGTTGGGATGTTCAATCGTGGGAAGATTGACATCTGTCTTCAGTGGTTTTCACTTGTCAATAATCTTTCTCACTGCAGAATGATGGACTCCAAATAGTTTGGAAATAGCCTTATGTCCCTTTCCAGATGGACAGGAAAGTAATTATTGTGTCTCTGGGATAATCTTTCCCTCTTGATATTGTATTAAAACACAAATGGATGCTCCAGGACAACAAATCATTAGAATCTCAGCTTTGATTACCAAAACATTTCTGCAACTAATGCCATTTTATTTCGTATTGATGCAGTGAGAGAATACTTTAATTTTTCCACATAACTCCTAGATTTTTCTGATTAAGTTACATAACGATAGATAAATTGGGTTGTATTTACTGGTACCCAATTCTATTACCTAGTTTTAGAACCAAATAGTTTCATTTATTGTTAAATATTATATATTTAATGTTATTATAACAGTTTTGTATATTTTACATTTGATAATACAATTCAAGAAATAATGACTCTGCTCATTAATAAGTTGTGAAACCTTTCAAGGGGAGGTGGAGGCAGTCATTTATTAAAGTCTCTCATCCTAATAGCCCCTGCAGAGTGATTAATGCGTTTTCACATCAACTTTCTGTACAGTAAACAACATCTCATCAAATAGGTTTCAACTCTGCTTAGCCTGACAGTAAAGTCTTGCATTTTAACATGGAGAGATAAGATGCAGTTACAACCAGCATCTGAGGAGGAGAAAGTCAACGTTTACCACCTAAAGTAAAGAAAACAGCAGACATTTTGGAAAACCATGGGGAGACGTGGGGAAAATCAAAAACAAGGATATACTGAAAACAGCTGGCACAACGTTTGTGCAGAGGTCAGGAAACAAACGGCCTGAGACAGAGACAAATAAAGAGAGAGAGAGAGAGTGAGTGGACAGGGCAGAATCAATACAAGATGTTTCTTTCCCTCCGTGGCGTAAAAAATGACTGCACAGGTCAGACCTGTCGCTGATGACGAGCCTCAGCAACAACGAGTGAGCAAAGGAGATGGACTGAGAAATGAATAACATAATGAAGGCCAAAAATTGGGGCGATATAAAAAAAAAAAAAAAAAGAGCAATGAGGAAATGGGAGGAAAAAATGTTGGGATAAAGATGGAGCTAGAAAAGCAGGGAGCTGAGGAACGATTCTGTGCCGAGACCCAAAAAAAAAGAAGCCACATTCATTGGTATTCTAAGGCAGTCTCCCATGCAGCACAGCACAATCAGTGCAGTCTGGATGACATAACATGCTTCAAGAGTGCCCCCTGCAGTATCAGCTACACCACCACCAGGCTACAGGAATCTAGGTCATCCATTTAAGAATCCACCAGTTTCTCTCACAGGAAACCAAAAACTACAGCATGGGGGGAGCAGAAAACAGTAGTCACCTCTCTAGGGTTTTCTTTATCTGAACAAGGACAATGCCTTTTTTATTTTTTTATTTTTAATGACCTGATTTCAAGCTTATCCAGATTTTTAGGTTTCAGCCACGACACAACAAGTACCTGTTTCAAGACCTCAGAATCAGTTCAGGGTCTAACTTTCAAACCGTCGTGCGGAAAATCAAGTTTTCAACACGCGTTTCTTGTCAACATATCTTTAAATTAAAGAGGGTCAACACTAAACATTTTATGATGAAATGCATTCTTAAACATTTTTTATAGATATATTGTTTATACTGTAATCAAAATAAAACATGTATTCTGTCAGCATAAAATTAAAAAAGATTGTCCGCATTGTTTAATACGTTTGTTTTAAAGGCTTTACAGCATTTAAAAACTCTGCAATATTACAAACATTCTCCTCAAAGAGTATTCATACGGTCATGATGTTTGAAAAAGAAATATGGCTGTTGGTTTTCATTGTTTACTTGACCATATTACAAAAATAATAATAATAATCCTGCAATGACGCCTTGGTTACATTTTTAACAAAAAATGAGCAGCTGCCCTGAACTCTGCCAATTTTTAATCACATGACTAACCAATCAGAGCAGAGCAGGACTTTCAGAGGGAGTTTAAAGAGTTAGAGGACTTTCAAGGAACAGAAGCTGAAAAAATAATCAGACTGACAAAAAAGGTCTAACCTTATAAACTCTCAAAAATTAACATTTAACCCACTGTTATTTACCCTTTAATTACTTGTGAACTTTTGAGATTTTTTTTTCATACTCAAATGTACACTTTCAGGTGTATTACCAATAAGCAACCATAATAGTCTGCTTTCAACAAAACACCAAGGAAAGCAGCTAATTCTGACACCCAGGTGAAAGGATTTGGGATTTTATATCAAACCTAACAGAATGATAAAGATTAATTTGGTCGGCTGTTTATTGATTTGATCTAAAATGAGCAGAATGAATATGACACAGAAAGGCACTGAAATCGACAAGAATAAAAGTGTTTCAAGCTAGATGTCTTCCATTAACATAAGAATTTCTTATTAAGTGATTTTTACTAACCTGCTGGATTCGTTTTTACCAGTTACATCAAACAAAGTGGTAACTGTGTTGATTTAAATAAATCAAATATTGTGGTCCTAAGGCAGATTATCCATATACAAGAGGCAATGTTTAAAACTCTTTAAAATGTGCAAAAGATCATTTTCGAAAAGACGAGGGGTTATTCGAAAGTCAAAAAACTCCAAAAATAAAACTAAGAGAAACTGAACTGAAACATAAACAGGTGTCATAGAAGCCACTCCCATAGCTCCAGGTTTTATGACTCATCCAGTTTCTTTTTGCAAACTAAAAACATGAATTTATTCACAGGAAACAAATCTGCTATGCTGCATTCATTTATAGCCTAATGCCACAACACAGAGACAGAAAACATGGAGTCCATCACATAAAAGGCTTCTTGTCATAATATGCATGACAAAAATGTTATATATATATATATATATATATTTTAAATAAAGTTTGGGTAAAATTTTGAAACTGAATACAAATATTGTTTATAAACATTAAATGTATTTTGTCTGAACCAGGCAGAACCACATTATGTGGGTAACTACATTGAATTTTGAAAAGTGCTCTAGTTACAAACATAAAATACTGCATCTTAGAATAAACCTACTGTTCTTGAAAGTCAGGTGCCTAAATGACTGAAGACAGTCCGTTAAACAAATTAGAAACAAAAAGCTTTTTTTTAGCTTAAATATACTTTATAACATTTAAAGACAATGGCTGAAAAGTCCACCCATACATCACAGTACAACTATTTGGTCCTATGGGTGAAATTTGAAAAGGCCGTACTCTTCCTCTGCTGTGCTCTAAAGCTAATACTGTGGTTTAAAACTCTAAACCAACACAGAAACTAGATGTTCAATCAGAAAACTTTGACCTTGGGCATCAGTATTCAAGATAAACTATATGTCAAGAAATCCACAACACTAGAACAACAGAAACAACCCCAACTTAAAATGCATAAGCAGTCATTTCACTGAAGTAGCAGAGCTGTGTGCCGGGGGGTGGGGGTTTGGATGGATAATGGTAGAGGAAACACTGTCTTCTTCTTCCTCTTTTGGCTTTTCCCTCTTCAGGGGTCACCACAGTGAGTCATCCTCCTCCATCTCACTCTGTCCTCTGCATCTTCCATCCTCACTCCAGCTACCTCCATGTCCTCTCTAACTGCATTCATATCCAGCTGCATTTCTAACATCCTTCTACCAATATACCCACTGTCCCTCCTCTGGACATGTCCAAACCATCTCAGTCTGGTCTCTCTAACTTTATCTCACAGTTGTTCAACCTGTGCTGTACCTCTGATGATTTCATTCCTAATCTTATCCATCCTTGTCACTCCTAAGGAGAACCTCAAAATCTTTATTTCTGCCACTTCCAGTTCTTCCTCCTGTCTTTTTGTCAATGCCACTGTCTCCAGACCATACAACATAGCTGGTCTCACCACTGTCTTGTAAACTCTTCCTTTGACCTTTGCTGACACCTTTTTGTCACAAATCACTCCTGAAACTTTTGTCCATCCACTCCATCCTGCCTGGACTCTCTCCTTCACCTCTTTACCACACTCCCCATTTTCCTGGACAGTGGACCCCAAGTACTTGAAGTCCTGCACCTTTGTGACCTCTGCTCCTTGTAGCCTCACTGTTCCACCAGCCTCCCTCTCATTCACACACATGTACTCTGTCTTACTACAACTGACTTTCATTCCTCTTCTTTCAAGTGCATACCTCCACCTCTCCAAGTTCTCTTCAGTTCCCTGTTCTCACCACAGATCACAATGTCATCTGCAAACATCAGTCCACGGGGATTCTTGCCTGACCTCATCTGTTAAGTCGGTCCATCACCAGAGCAAACAAGAAGGGGCTCAGAGCTGATCCATGATGCACTCCCACCTCCACCTTGAAGCTATCTGTCACTCATACAGCACATCTCACCACTGTCCTGCTGTCCTCATACATGTCCTGAACCAGTCTAACATACTTTTCTGCCACTCCAGATTTCCTCATGCAATACCACACCTCCTCCCTCGGCACCCTGTCATATGATTTTTCTAAATCCACAAAGACACGATGGAGGTCTTTCTGACCCTCTCTGTTCTTCTCCATCAGCATCCTCAAAGCAAAGATAGCCTCTGTGGTGCTCTTTCTAAAGATGAAACCATACGGCTGCTCACAAATAGTCACCTCTCTTCTAAGTCTAGGGGTAGGGGAAATACTGTAATCACTGTATATATACATTCTCATAATAATGATAGCAATTATTATTTAAAATATCATGAGATATTGCTTTATATATTTTTTTTTTGTTTGTTTTTTACAAAATAACCTTGTACATACATATTTAGTCCTAGCCTGTGCAAGGACATGAGCGAGTGTTAACTTTATTCTGTCTCACCTTTGGCCTTGATGTACAAGAACTCTGGGTTGACACAAAGGGCCAAGTTGCTCGGCAGTGTCCAAGGTGTGGTTGTCCAAGCAATGAAAGAAACGTTCTCATCTTCAACCAAAGGGAAACTGACAATCACAGAGGGATCCTGGACATCCTTTAGATACAAAGAAACGGAATAATTCAGCTTTGTTCAGCACCTTTTTTATTTTTAAATTTGGAGGTAGAATATTTTTTTGACTGTGTTATTGAATACCAACAAAGGTTCACAGTGGAATCATGCGTACTGCATACATATTCACTGAATCGCACATATTAATAATGATGTAGACTTTTTCCACACAAGTTTTAGGCCAAATAATTTCATAAAGATCCGCCAGCATAAAGAGTTGAGAATGCAGAAAGATGTATGATGCTCTAATAAAAAGGACTAACTTCAGTCTTGAAGAGCACACTTTCTGTGCCCACTTACACCCTCTGTAACATATACTAAACTACAGTATATAAAGTATGAAATACTAAACAGAGAGAGTGTTAGCGAAATAAATATAAACAGGATGGGACTGTAAATATGGTGGTAAAGCAATACATTCACTACAATCTCACCCTTGAACAGTAGATGTCAGTACAGAGAAGTTGTACAGTTGGTACATTTTTCATAAACAAAAAAGACAACAACACAATATGAACGCATCCATGGTGCTGTTTACAAAGTTGTGTATGAAGAGAATGACTTCAGAGAAAATTTAATTTCAATATTAACAAGCAGTATGACGAGGGACAAAAACTGGCCATTTACGATAATGATACGGTTACGACGATACTCGGGACACACTGTTAACACTTTACCATTAAATTCCATTCAAAGCAGGATTTCAGACCCAGAAAAGGGTTGTGCTTGTGCTTACCTTGTAGTTCTGATTAGACTCAAAGTTGGAGAGGGGGGTGTTGCAGGCAGTCGAGTAAGGCATGACTTTAAATCCACGATATACAAAACCCTTGTCATAGAGCTGTTTGAACACCCACCTAGGAAAATTAAAATAAAATAAAAATACTATAATAATGCATTCATTTGACAACTGTTGAAAAGTTTCAATAAAAAAGAAACAAAGCTAATGAAGGAAAAAGCAGTTCAAATATACTTTATAAAACAGCATCAACATATTTGACAGGGCAGCAAAAATCAAGAAACATTACTGGCTTCAGTGGAAACATGACCTACCTCTACACCATCTCGACACCCAAAATTATTTGATCATTGTATTATTGCTCAAGCTGACTGAAAATCAAGACATTCAGAAGAGGTCCAATTATTTACCCACCCCAAAAAACACTAAGCCTTTGTAAGTTTGCTGAATATTTTTTCTAAATAAAAACACGAATAAGTCGCAAAATCATTTAAATCATTTTCCCTTAAAATGTGCCTGTCATAGTTGTGTCCTCAGTTTCTGTCAACTCATCAGATTTTTGCACAATCTTCACTAAGTCAGGACGGTGTGAAATCACCAGAAAAGTTTGTTTTTTGTATTTTATTACATGTCACATTAACCAAATAATATTCCAAGATAGTTCAGGACTTGAAATTCTTGTTGGACTGAAAAACAAATCACACTTTTTGTCCAGTCTGACAGAGTTGAAACAAAGCAAGTTCTAAAATCAAACATTGCTTTTTGTTTCTGTTTAGAAACTGTTTCTTTACAAGGTTAAAGACAGTTCTTTCCTGTCTTGTCCCATACCTCAAGAATCCCCGAAATGTTTAACTAAAAGCTATCAACGCCTTGTCTACGTTTTACTTTTCATTTCTGTTTGCCAAAATAATAAATGTTAATTTGGTATTTCAGGTTTGTGTATTTGGAAACTGATAAGTTATTATAAGACGGATCCGGATGCAAATTTAAACAAAAGAAATACATCAGTATTTGCTAATTGATAAAGATAAAAGGAATGTGTTTTTAAAAAAATCTAATTTTGTTTATTACGGTTGTAATTTTAAACCAAACACCAGTGTGTTTAGTCTTTCTATAAGACAATTTTCCTTTAAACTAAATCAATTTTAAAATATTACATATTGCATATATATTGATAATGACAAATTTTACATCAGTTTAGCCCAGTCTATGGGAATATGCATGAACTTGTGATCTACGTACCACACTGTTTCCATGAACCATGGGTACAGAGTCTTGTAGTCGTTGTTGAAGTCAATCCACCGACCCATTCTTGTCACTGAAATCTACAAACAAAAATAACATGATTATTTGATAAATGCTTGCAGTGACATTTATTATGAGGTGAGTTTTCTGTGTTTACCTCCCATTCATTAGAATATCTCATGACAATGTTTCGACACTGCTTGTTGTACTCAGCGATGCCCATCTTGGCCACATCTTCAGGCCCTTTGATCCCTAAAGTTTTATCAATTTCATACTCCTGCAGACAGACATGAGTAATTAATTATTAATAATTATTTTAAACCTTTACCAAACTCACACTTAGAAAGCTAAACCTTTACAACAGATTTAAAGAAATCCTACCACAGGTAGGCCATGGCAATCCCAGCCAAAGCGCCGGTCCACATGAAAGCCATTCTGGTGGGCAAAGCGAGTAACAATGTCCTTGATGGTGCCAGCTAAGATGTGACCGTAGTGGGGTAAACCCGTGGCAAAAGGAGGGCCATCATAGAAGCTGTACCTGGTTAGGCAATGATAGAAAACATGTATCCAAACTACTGTTAAAAAAAACAAACCTTTTTTTTTTCAAATAGTAAACAGAAATGTTTTCACATAGACTTCATGAGATTTTACCCCACGATTACATAGTTCACTCATGTTGTGATTATACATGTCAAGGTAAACCAGTTTGAAATGTAATTTAAGTGAAATTATTGTCCTCATTGTATGTTCCCATACAATGACAAAAATGTATTCTCTGCATTTGACCCATCACACGAGAGAAACCCCCAAGTGGAACAGAAGGCAGCTATGTAAGCGTGCGATGAGCAGTTAGTGCATAGGTCTATTGCTCAAGGGACACCACAACATATGGGCATAGAGGGGAATCAAACCTGCAACTTTTAAGCAGGCTGCCCCTACCACTACACCACAACCATCATGTAGTGCAATGGCAGGGCATTAAAGAAGAAATAATATTTAACTTACTTTCTTGCAATCAAAAGCATAAACTATCCTCAAGGTCACCAAGAAGAAACCCATAAACTCACAAATCATGTTAAGGATTTATCAAAAAATATTTTTAATTAAATTCATACTATACATAATTTATCTCTATATCAGTTTTCTGTCAAGCTTTCTTTTAACCTATGTGGACACTATATTTTAAATACAATGTGCTGTGTGTCTCATCTCAGGTAAAAACACAATAATCCACATTTACCTGGGTCTGTTCTTAGACTGTCTGAGGCATTCCTGAAAACAGTCCTTTTCTTGCCAAAACTGCAAGATCTTCTCCTCTTCAGAGGGAAAGTTGATGGATTCGGGGACTGACTCCACCATGACGGCTGTCCAGATTACAACAAAAAGCAAAAACAAACAAAAAAATGATTTACTGGATTAGATTTGCAGAAATCAGTGTGCAGTAAAATAATAAAATCAAGTATTAAAAGGTTATTAAGATGTAGTTTCTCTTTACGCTGCAGATTCAAGATAAGTTTGTCACGACTCTTTACAAGTAATCACTAAAACTTAAAAGTCATCACACAAGTCACATTTCCAGAGCAGAGCGCACACTTCACTGCTGACACCTCATTTGTTGTTAGCTAGCAGGCTAAGTTAGCAGTTCTCCGCTTTAGGTCGGTTGTGGTAAAATAAACCGTAAAGTTCGTTAAATGTGACCTTTAAATACATATTTACCAACAGTCAATTGTTAAAGAATATAAAGCTGGAAATCACAAGTTTGCGTTTAGTTTGAATGCAGACACTTACATGCTCTGAAACCGGCTGCCAATTGACACGAGAAATGATGCAAACGGAAGTCACAGAGTGAGCGGAAGTGACGACATTTGCACTTCAACATAAAATCCAAGTTGTCTCAATAAAACATTGTCTCAAAGGCATGTCGTTTGACCGAAACAATAATGAAAATAAAATATATTTAAGTTAGCAATTAAACTAGTAAAACATAAAGCAAAGTTAAAGTTAAAGTAAAGCTAAAAAAAATATTGTTCTTTCTTTACAGCAAGTTTATTTACACTTAGTTTGTGGTTTTATAATTTAGCCTTGTGAACAATATATAT